CATAACAGCACCGGTTTTCAAGTCCCAGCTGCTCCTCTTCCTACCCAGCTCTCTGCTATGGGCTGGGAAAGCAGTGGAAGATGGCACAAGTACTTCGGCCCTTGCACCAGCATGGGAGACCCAGAAGAAACTCCTGGCTCCTGGTTTCAAATCAAGGGCAGCTCTGGCCATTGCGGCCATTTGGGGAGCGAACCAGAGGATAGAAGAGATCTCTCTCTCTGTGTCTCACTCTCTGTCTGTAAATCCACCTCTCAAATAAATAAGTAAAATCAAAGAAGAAGAAGAGGAGGAGGAAGAGGAAGAGAATTCTGGTTATTTCCCATCATGCAGCCAGTGATCCAGTAAAAATGTTAAGTCAGACCAAGTAACTTTTCTTCTCAGAATTCTACAGAGTCTCTTCTATTTCAGAGGACAAGGTAGAATTCCTACCATGTTGATGCATGTTAGCGCTGTCACCTCCCTAAGTACATCTCCTCTGCTCTCTGTCTTGATCACTGTGTGCCAGCCACAGTGATGTGCTTATTTCTCTCCCTGAACTGTTGAAGCACTCTTTGGCCCCAGGCCATTTGTACTTCCAGTTTTCTCTGCCTAGGGTGCTCTTTAGATTCATATGAGCTGGCAGATGCTACTCCCTTACCTCCTTGACCTCCTCATAATGAGCAGTTTAACAGAGGAGCTCACTCTGACCACTTTTCAAATGGCAACCCCAATCTCCTCTATTTCTGGGACATCTCTGTCTCTCTAACATTTACCACAAACTAACATAATATCCCCACCAGGATTTCTATTTTCCTTGTTTTCTATCTGCTGGACCTCAGTCCCATGGGGTCAAAGAATTTAGTTTTGCTTGGTGTATAATGCCCAGGGTCTAGAACAATCCCTAGCATTAATATACACTCAAATAAATAGATAGATGGTTAGTGAAGGAACAGATAAAGAAAAGCCAAGTTCAGACTTGCTGATTTTGTCTGCTAACCAGTAAAATCAATGAATCAAGGGGTTGATCTTCTGCTGTAAAATATACCCTACCTTCAGGCATTTCCCTAGAATTTAATCATGCTTACACTGCAAAATATCAGCTATTACCTTGTCCACTTGACACGTCACATTTTGGAATTTGGGAGCAGTAGCCAACTCGGATGTTTGGGTCAGTGGTGAAACACCAGGGTGACTCAGCCCCATCTGGATTTCGGCAATAATTTTCTCGTAGGTCCCTAATGAAACAAAGCACATTGATATAAATAGAGTTCTTATGTCAGTGAAGTCAACATTAGCATCTCCATAATCCCAGGCTATATGCATGCTTATAAATAGAGCTGTGAGTTGTTGGACTTAGGAAATGTATAGCTAGTTAGAATTCGGTACATGCGTTGGATACTGCCTGAATTACCAACACAAATGCTATCAAATGTCAGTTTCTTTTCCTTCCATAGGCACACAGTTCCACACAAACCTTACTACTTCATGAGAGAGAGAATAGAGACCACGATATTCTTCTCACTCATTCTCCAAATTCAGACTCTCATTTAAAAACACTGGCCTATTATTTATTATGTTCTCATGGCCCATAAGTAATTTTGAAACAACATGTATCTCTCTGCAGGAGAAAGGTTATTATTAATAGTCACTAACTACTCTCATTTGAAAATATAAGCTCAACCTATTCAAATGATTGCCCCAAAACGTGATAGCTTTTTCTTTTTGAATTCTGTATTTATTTATTTAATTTCTGCGTAGGTTGTTTTCAATTACAAAGTAGTTCTTGATTTAGATAACTTACTTGTACTCTTTATAAATATTTCTGTAAAATTAAGGCCTAATGATAACACAAAAACCTAACCATAGAGTAAGTTGTCAGTGTAGTCCATGTATATCCTTTATTTTAATGATATTTTAATTAGAAATGCATAATTCTCAACACGAAGGATGACTATGTTAATATTCTTTCTATTTGGAAGGAATTAGGTGGTTTTCTACCTAAATATAATGTTCATATAAGAGAAAATATGGAAGTAATTATTCACTGTCTTAAGACATGTTCTCTAATTTTAAGCAGGCTTGGCCTTTCTTTTCATAGATTATTGGCTAATATTTTCACAAAATTAATATTCAGTCTATTGGAAACCACAGTATTTGTATCACTTAGCTCCAATCAGAAGTTCTGTAATTTTATTAATATCCAGTTGGGTCATCAGAAACTAAAAAGTTGTTGAGGAAGAAGCTTGCATTTGGTTAGAAAGTCAACAAGTAATAGTCTACCTTTCCAAGTGGATTCTGCCACTGTGTGATTTAAGGATATGAGAAGCGTCATTGTCATAATGAGGGCCATTGTGCGGTAACAGTTCAGGATAGTGACCCATAGTCAACCTCATAGCCTTCTCACAAAGTTATGAATTAGAATAGATGAAGAAACATTTCTTTGAAACCAGTTAGTGTTAATGTTCTAAAATTTAATGTCAGTACAAAATGTGTGCTCTAAGTTTTACATAAACTTGATATACATTTATAATTTTTATGGATAATTGCTCAGTTAAGTATTTTAGACTGTTAACTTAAGGCAAAATAATTAAGTAAAGAACTATTAACAAAATTCTCAGTTTAGACATGCCCTTAAAATTGGTATCTGGAAGAAACTAGAATAAATAAAAGCTAGATTAAATAAATAGAAAAGCCAAGGTTTGCCCAAATATTTTTTCTCATTTTCTTTCCCTTGTCTTGAAGAAAGAATTTTTCACAACTACCAAAGTGAACTGATGATTATATGATTCATGTAGGTTCCGGGCAGGCAGAATTGTTAATTACAGTGTTTCAAAAACTGTGTTTTGTAAGAAGTTTCAGTATTGAGGCAAATAAAGTTTAACAGAACTCGAGACACCTGATCAGCCAGGCCCATTGTACCAGCTCATAAATATGAGAAGGCTTCAAAGACTTCATGAAAATTGGAATTAAAAGGTAAGCTTATTTTGCTTCAAAAATTTTGAAAACCATACATTAGAATTTTTTAAAAGTTCATAAAAATGCCTATTATACAAAAGCTGCATGGATTTCAAACTTTTTTGCCAAAATAAACACATTCTTAAATTCCATTTTCCATGATCTTTCAGAAACACTCTCATAGCAAAGAGTAAATCAATGTTCTGAGCAGAACATTCAGACAGATTTTATCAGTTTACTAACATGGCTCACCTTTTTATCTTATTGACATTTTGTTTGGTTATTTTGACCAAATAACTAAATTAAGACAGGATGGCTAAAATTCAATAAAGCCTGACCATAAGATATTTGATAATTAGATTTTAATGGTGAAGTCTATGCATTCAATTTATGTAATAATTCTTTTTATTACAAAGGTCAGAGTATCAGCACATACACTATTTATTTGGGTATTAGCAGTAATTGAAATCTAGCAAAAAGTGTGAATGGCATTTGATGCAGTCTCCTTTGTCCCTTTTAATTAATCTTTTCTCACTTTCTTTGCTTTCTCTACTTCAGTATTTTTTTCTGAGGTGCAAGTGGGTCAGGAATGGAGAGTGAATGGCTGGGAAGGAAATGAGAGAAATAAACCTGGAATGACAACTATAAATTTTGTTATTATAAAATAATGAAAAAGAATCTTAACAGATGGCTATTTACTATCTCAACAAATAAATAACTGAATTAGCTAAAGCACACAAGTCCACAAACATCTCCCCTCTCCAGTGGATGGGCCAACAATTGTTTATACTCTCTGCTCTGAAATGTTAGGGTGTCTTATTAAAAACCAATTATATAAAGCCAATATATGTTATTTATAGGTGCTATTTCAGCAAAGCACTATGAATGACATGTGTGTTATAAATCTCAAAAGCAATCATTTCATGTTCCTCATAACAAGGTGGACAATTTAAAAACACATGGCACTGTGGCTTTGTCCAGCAAAAGTCACATGGTGAAAAAAATAAGCCAGGGAGACGCACACAACCAAGAAATGACTGACACTCAAAGGCAGTTTTGAGGGCTTGACTCATCTCAATGAGAGTTTTGCTTCCCCATTCTCCAAAGACAATCCAGAAAGAACAGAAAGCATTCTCATAAGCTTTTAAACCTCATTTTATTCCTTGGTGTTTAAGGCTGCCAACTCATGAGCTTAAAATATTGGCTGAAATCAAGGTATGCCTTTTCATTTAATAGAAAAAGAAATATGGAATCTCCCTTAAAGCTAACCTGAGAATTTAAGAAGGGATAGTTTGAAACGTGCTTGTTTATCTTTACCATTAATTGATCTATTAAATAAATCTGGAAGATCAAGGCTTCGATCAGAAACAGTTCAACAGAAGGAATAGATTTGCATGCTCCACAGCTCACAATAATGTTAGAATATGAGGGGCTGGAGAGGGATGAGCCAATAAGCTCCAAACTTGGTGGAAGGATGGGTCATGCTGGCTGCTGGACTTGATCAGCTTATGCTGTGTGTGTCTGGTGAAATACTGCACTGTGCTCTATACAGGTGTATGAGTTATTACACATTAATAAAAAAAATCAAAGCAACAATTTAGAGATACGTTCCCAAGGTGGGGAGGATCAAACCCTCTGAATCAGAAACACTTAGAGGATTTACTGAAATGTACATTTGACAGTCAAGTCTCAGACTTAACAAATCCAAATCTCTGAGTGAAAAAATAAATCTGCCTTTTACCTCCTGATTATCTCCTGGCACGTCAAGTTCAAGTAGCACTAGCAGAGGAATTAGTAAAAAGTAGCCATTCTGCCTCATTTCCCCCAGGGTCTACTGAAATTTGTAACATTGGCTTAATTTACTCACTTGCACTTGAAATTTTCGGGAGTTATGTCATGCTGGTGAGGATACTGGGAATCCCAACGCTGACAAGGAATTCCATTCCAAATGGTATTGATGGTTCCCCTGTAACCTTCTCCTTGACCTTGAATGCATTCCGTTGTTTCCATAGGGACATCAGTGTCATTCATAATACTGTGAGCTATTGGAAGAAAGAAGCTTCAGTTACAACTTCCAACACATCATCTTCCTCTTTGAACTTATCTGCATTTGTGCCACCAGAATTTTTCTGTCATTTACAATATTTTAATAATTAAGTTCAATAAGTATTCCAACTTAACAGTGTTATTCTCTCTGTTCCAATTTCCCTTTCATTACAACCTGAAATTAGTTTATGCTTGAAAAATTCCTTAAAGACCTTTTAGTTTCACTTATCACTCACTTATCACTAAAACTTATATACACTGAACAGGTAGTATTTCTGAATGATTATGTGATTATTCCTAAAATCAGATTGCTCAAATATCTAGAATCAGTGATGTAATGGACCATGATTGCCCTCTAATATGCCGAATCTATTTGAAGTTTATATGTTAAGATTCTCTTTTAATCAATTTGTTAGTGTTAAGAAAATCAGTTTTGCTACAAAGGTCTATTTCCTGCTTATCCAATTGCAATGCTTACCATAACTCACAGAGATAAAGAAACCCTCAGAAACTAAAAAAAAAGTATAAAATTACATTTTACCATAACCAGAACTGTCTCCTTTTTACCTCTAATATTTTTAAAAATTTTGTTTGAAAAATACAAATAGTACTTCTTTTTAAGATTTAGTTTAAGATCTTTTTAAGAAGAGAGTGACATAGAGAGAGAAACAGAGAGAGAGGTAGAGAGAGAAAGATCTTCCATCCACTTGTTCAAACCCAAAACAGCCACAATGGCCAGGGCTGGGCTAAGCCAAAGCCAAGAACTAGGAACCCCATGTAGGTCTCCCAAACCTGTAGCCGGGGTCTGTACTCGGGCCATTTTCTGTTGCTTTCCCAGGCACATCAGCAAGGAGCTGGATGGAAGTGAAGCAACCAGGACTCAAACTGACATTCTAATATAGGATGCCAGCATTGCAGATGCCAGCTTAGCTCTCTTCACCACAACACCAACCTTGTGTTTAATATGTACTAAGTTATAACTCAAGACATTCTAAAATTTGTTTAGCTTTTCAAAACATACATGAAACTGTTTATGGTTTGATAAAGTCGGTACAAATCTCCCAGCTATCTTTGCAACCTAAATGATTATTCAAGATACCCCTGGTTAAAGCTCAAGTTTTAAATTGCTAAGGATAGCTTAAATTTTGAATAAATTGCTTTGTTTTACCCCATTATGGAATTAAATTTACTACCTCCCTTCCAAAGGAGAAGTCAGAATTCAATGTGTCTTCAGAGACAACGCACACCCATGAACATTTTTGACATTTAGTACCGTAAATTGTTTCAAATAGCTCTTAAATGTCATTAAAATGTGTTTCTCCCAAACAGTTAACTACAAGATGTGGCTGGGTGTTTTGTATCTTTAAGTGTCAGGAACTAAGCGTAGGCAAATTAAGTGCATTCTAAGCTGAAAGTTATTCTGTGAAGGTTTCTGAAAAGAGGGGGAAAGATTACTTTGACGACCACCCCAGCCACTGGAATAGGTTGTACATTCAGATTTCCATTAATTTTCCAATTCATACCTTTACTTCAGGTCATTTCACAAAAAGTCTCAATTTCTTACATACCCACTTTAGAGAATGAAAATAGGACTCATATATCCTAAGTTAGAAAGAAATTCAAATGAGGTTGGAAAATATCCAGGAATTGATCTATACAGCAGTAATTGTGAACCAATAGGCCAGAAAATTAATATATAGTGATTTGGTAATACACATTGATTCAGGAAGAACACAAATTATCGACCTGGGAGAAAGGTCTTGTATAGAAAGTGTTGCTGCTGGTTACACAAGTCCTTCGTGACTTGAATTCGATATCAGATGGATTTCAAAGCTCTTGAGGAACTACAATATTTCACCAAAACAAAAGCTATTAAGTTACTATATTTCTGAGGTTGTGAGGTGGGTGCTAAGTGACAAGAAGAGACTGAGTGTGTGGAAAAGTCTTTGAAAGGGTGGTAAGTGAGAAACAGGTGAAAGGTCAAGCTTGCCTTGCTGTATTTCACATCTATTTATAAAGTTATGATGGGAAAAGGCAAAAATAAATATTCCCCAGGAATCAATCAATTCATTCGCTTCATATCTTAAGAGAAGTTTGGATTCCTCCATTGCTATGGTTTGAGTATGGTTTGTCGCCTCTGAAATTCATGTTGAAATCTGACCACCACTGTGGCCATGATAGGAGGTGGCATTTTTTTTTTTTTAAGATTTTACTTATTTATTCGAAAGGTAGAGTTGCAGACAAAGAGACAGAAAGGTCTTCCATCTGCTGGTTCACTCCCTAAATGGCAGCAACTGATCTGAAACCAGGAGCCAGGAGCTTCTTCCAGTTCTCCCATGTGGGTACAGATGCCCATGCACTTGGGCCATCTGCTAATGTTTTCCCAAGCCACAGCACAGCAGAGAGTCGGATAGGAAGATGAGTAGCAGGGACACAAACCCACGCCCATATGGGATGATGGCACTGCAGGCAGAGGCTTAGCTCACTACACCACAGCATCGGCCCCGGGAGGTGGAGTTTTGAAGAGATGGCTGTGTCGGAAGAGGAATGAATGCCTTTCTCAGGGTGCTCAGGGAGGCTGAAGCAGGAGTTTGGTGAAGCCGAGAGGCCTCTACTTGAGATGTCTGCATCCCATGCCAGAGAGCCTAGGTATGAGACCTAGCTCCTCAAGAGGTCTTTGCCTGATGCAGCCAGTTCATCTTGACTCCCAGGCTCCCTAACAGGGAGCCAAGGTCAAGCTCTCAGAAAAGGAACCAAGACACTCAGCTTTCAGGCACCAACTCAGGACTTCCGTCGAGAGTCCAGGGTCCTTACACTGGAATAAGTTCTGAGTTAGGGCAGCCACTGCAAACACACTGTCTGGGTTTTGTCACCTGTCTGGAACACCTGGGTTTCCTTCCTCTCCTGCTGGCTTATGTGTGTTGTTTGCCTTCTTTACTCCTGAACTCCTGTTCTCAAGCACTGTGAACGTGCAAGTCACAGACCCAGGCTCCCTGAGCCCAGATGTCAACAAGGACCACCCAGGGCCAGATGTGGGCCCAGATTACCCCAGAGAAATGAGTTCAAGGCTAAGCCCATCAGAAATGAACCTATTCTACTGCACAATTTTCCAGACAGCAACCAAAACAATGGGGCCAAAAGGAAGACAGTCCTCGGATGATGCGTTATTTGTTGGAATCTCTACCTGTGGACACAGGTTCAGAGAGCTGCCTCCTTTGCTATGCAAAGGCAACTTGGCATTGTTCAAACAAGCTGAGCAGAGGGGAGGGAGTTAGACATTCTGCCTACACTGTCAACCTAAAATTAAATATCAAGAATCATTTCCAGGATGTGTTTTTAGATAAAGGTGATCAGAATTTCAAAGTGATTTGTTCGTAAAAAACTTCTTAAAGTTACAATCTCGTGGAAATGACCTATGATAATGAACATGTGAAGCAATACACAGAGCCTGAAATTCATGAACAAGTTTAAATCTACTGTACAAAAAGAGAGAGGGGTGGGTGTTGAGCCGAGCGGTTAGAATGCCTGTGCCGCAGTAGCTGAGTTCAGTACCCAGCACCAGCTCCTGACTCCTGCTTCTTGCTACATCAGACCCCTACATGACAGCAGTGATGGCTAAAGTAATTGGATTTCTGCCACCCATGTGGGAGACCTGGACTGAGTTGACGGCTCCTAGCTTTGGCTCCAGCCCAGTGCCATGTGGGAAATGAGGGTTTTCCTTCTCTCTCTCTCTCTCCATATACATAAATAAATAAAAAGTACGGTGAGTTTACTAAGGTAAATAAAGATTATCTTAATTCATTAAGAAATCAACACATGATCAATAGAAAATATTAAGAAGAATGATAAAAAAAATTTAGCACTAATAGAGAATGAGTGAGCATTTCTCTTAATTTGAGAGCAAATTTTCTAAGTTTAGGAGTCTCTGTGAAAAGGCAAATCTGTATTACAAAAGAGCATTTGTATAAAAACATTGAAAAAAATATTTCACTGCCAATTTATCACCTAAAATGTCAGTGTCAAGTTCAGAACCTGTATCCTTAATGCTAACACCACACCACAACTGAATAGGTCTCCAATCAGCTTTGATCAATGAATCTTGATCAATGAATGGCTTCGGATCAACCCAACTCCTGCCATTTGCGGAGTGAACCAGTGGACGGAAGATTCACTCTCTCTCTCTCTCTCTTTCTCTCTCTCTCTTCCTCTCTCTGTAACTCTAAATGAATAAAATGTAAGTCTTTAAAAAAAACTAGAAAAAAGTGTTAGGGAATTTAAATGGTAACATCATTATTTTTGTCTTTTGTTTTAATAAACATCCATGTCTTTAAAATATATAGCCTTAAGGAGTTGATGCAGTGACGGTATAGTGAGATTCCAACCCAGTTCCCTGCTAATGTGCTTTGGAAAGCAGCAGGTAATGGCCTGACAACTTGCAACCCTGCCACCATGTGGGAAGACTCAGATGGTGTTCCAAGCTACTGGCTTTGGCTTGACCCAGATCTGGCTGTTGGGACCATTTGGAGAGTGAGCTCGAGAATGGAGCATCTCTCTCTCTCTCTCTCTCTCTCTCTCTCTCTCACTCTCTTTCTCTCTTTGAAACTCTGCTTTTCAAACAAACAAACCAATAAGTCTTAAAATATATAAGGTTAACTATCTTGAGAGTTTCTCTTTTCCTTTTGTTTCGATTTGCTGGAAATATTTCTCATGATTTTTGACCACAAGTTAACAGTATTTCTCTTTAACTACAAAGTCCCTTCTGAAGTTGGTGCATTGGTATTTATGCTGTTTGACATTCAGCTGCTAGAAGTGACCTCATAAACAAAAATGATATAATTCAAATGACAATGTATGAACCACTAACCCAGAGGAATCAAGATATATTTGTACAACAAGGTAATTAAGTGGTTTTCATTAATAAATAAGAATTCTCATGAGGCTTCATGGAGCTGTTCAATAAATATTCGCAGATGAGGACTCTGATGAATGACTTGTTCTGTAGCCATTTCGCTGTGATCTAAATGCTTGATCTCTGCTGCTCACGTACTTACTATTTAAACAGCATGAATTATTCCTGCACTGCAGTAAAATAGATTCCTGCTGTTGCCCTACTGTATAAGTATCAAAACCTGCTGCAAAACCAAAACAAAAGCTTCAGGATAACTGATTGGAAAAAGCCCATTAAATGTTGGGGGAAGCATTCCTTTGCACTTAATCTTTTAACATGGACCCAAAGGAGGGAGGTTTGCAAGTCTCCTGTGGCCAAACCAAGTGTCAAAGAACCACCACAGGAACATCCCCAAAGATCAGCTGAAGTTGATCAAGTTTAGACAAAGCAACATGCTTTTAAAAAGCAGCATCCCACATACACAAATATTTTTGCAAGTATGTCTACCAAATTCATACGGAAAATATCAGGAACTCTTCTGAGCATTCCTCACGAATCAAATGTTTTGCCAGGCATGTCAGTGGTAGCCACGCTTTGGAAGCAGATGCAAAGACACTTAATGGGATCCTCAATGGCCTAGGAGTGAAGGAATGTTTCCCTTTGATGACAGACACAAAGTTTTCTGTTTGGAAATACTTTCAGGGACAGCAACATTTTGCTGTTGAATTTTTTCTCTGTCCTAAGAGGCCATGATCAGATGCAGGACGTGCCTCTTGGAACATGATTTTCACTTTGCTTTTGGGGCTGTGTTGGGTTCTGATGCTGTCATGTTCGGAAGGGAGTCTCAAGTCTGGGCAGAGAGCAAGAACTAGCACTGACTGTCACCTAGTTCTTAAGACAAACATCCTGCTCCCCACCCCCAAGAGATGGACATCAGTGGGGTAAGATCAGTAATGACGCATGTGATCAACTGTTTGCTGTGAAGGGCTGGCCAGAGCCTTCTCAGGGGGCCACATGACCCCGAGGAGGGCCTGAGAATACCACCCAGAGAGCACCAGAGCACCTGTTGATTATGAAGAGCCACAAGCATGGATGATAAGTGAATCTTGCACTCATCATTCTATCCCCTACCCTTGCCAACACCCTTACAGAAGAAAAATCTAGATTTCCCAGTGAGAACCAGCTATTGCTGTTCATCTTCCTGTGCTAAGAGCAAGTTGCTTCACCAGCCAGTGGACAACTACCTGATCGCCCCTTGGAGTAGTTCAACCCCAACCCACTATTTCTTATTCCCAGCTACCGAAGAGCAACTGAAATAGAATTTTTTATAATGGTCCCTGGAGGTTGAGAACAGTGTATGAAGCCACTCTCCCATCATCTGTGCTTGTGCTCTTTGGCCACAAAGGGCAGGATCAGGCTCGTCATAAAGAGCTTCTTGTTTTAAACTTGACATGGGAAAGTAGTAAAGACCTCCAAAGTACAGACCTCAAATTGCTTGCACGTTTGCTTTCCATGTGCAGCCAGGATTTGTATCTGAAACTTTTCCCTGGATTTGATCCAAGCCTCTTCTGGTACAAAATGCTCAGGAGACACGACTTTCATGAAAAACCTTTAATTCCGAAGTCCTATTCCTTAGAAGATGATTTAGAAAAGACCTCCAACTACAAAATTATTCCCTTAAGAAAGGGGATCGATAGCGTTGTTTTTGCCTGACTCGGAATACAATAACATGTTATTTCTATGAATCTCTATTCTGGCCTTGGATGAATCAATAAGATTCAATGAGACAATCAACTTTCTTTGAGAAAGAAAGTAATTTGCTAAAATTATTTCCCAATGCACAAACACAGTGAATTTTGAAAGATGAGTACATTCTCTTAAGAAGATGTCAACGTTCATTGGTTACTAAGAAGCATACTTTGCAGTTGTTACCAATGGCAGCATACCTACATAGCCTGTTCATTCTGCCTTAACAAAATATCATAAGCTTGATGACTCAACCTCGTAATTTATTCCTCACAATTCTTGAGGCTGGGAAACCCAGGACCTTGATGCAGGCCAATTAGCTTCCCAACGAGAGCCCTGCTCCTGGCTTGCAGATGGCCACTTTCTTCCTATGCTAAAAGACAAAGAGATCTCATTTTCTTCTGATGCCAACAATTCTGTAGGATTAGGATGCATCCTTATTACCTCACTTAGTATGAATTACATCTTAAAATCCCTGTGTCAACATATAATCACATTAGGGATCAGGGCTTCAAACTAAGAATTTGGTAGGAATGAAATTCAGTCCACAGCAGTATACTGAGTAGAAATCTTAGCTACCAAAGATCTTTCTAGGTCATACTTTGAAAATGATCCTGGACCAGCTGCCTGCTATAGCCAGGGAAAGCAGTAGAAGATGGCCTAAGTCCTTGGACCCCTGCACCCGCATGGGAAGACCCAGAAGAAGCTCCTGGCTCCTGGCTTCGAATCAGCACAGCTACGGCTATTGCAGCCAATTGGGGAGTGAACCAGTGGATGGAAGACCTCTCTCTCTCTCTGCCTCTCCTTCTCTTTCTGTGTAACTCTGACTTTCAAATAAATAAATAAATAAATATTTTTTTAAAATTAAAAAATTTAAAAAATGATCCTGGAAATTCAAAAAATAAGAAAGAGGAGGAAGAGGAGAAAAATAAAGATAAAAATAAGACAAGACTGGCCCATTTTGCTGGTAAGAGAAAACTCATCAATACCAAACCAGAAGGAACAAATGAATATTACCAGCTCAGGAGAGAAATGAAACCTGAGTATGAGCTGGGGAAAAGGTATGTAGCAAAGTCTTCCTGGTTGGTAATATATGAGAAAATCAAGTTTTTACATGAACATTGAGACACACAGAAGAAACACCAGGAGACTGAGAAAGAAAAAGGAAAAACTACCAGTTTCTAGGAAGGTAACACTCATTACTTCAGCAAATATTTGTTGATCTCTAGTAATGGGCAAGATACTGTATTGAGCATAAGGAGAGAAAAGAAAAAAAAAAAAACAGACATGGCCCTTGCTTTGTTTGAGCTTGCAAGTTCACATAACAAGAGTTATTATCTAAACAATTTCAAAAATAAATACAGCCAGCGCTGCGGCTCACTAGGCTAATCCACCACCTGCGGTGCCAGCACTAAGGGTTCTAGTCCCGGTTGGGGTGCCGGTTCTGTCCTGGTTGCTCCTCTTCCAGTCAGCTCTCTGCTGTGGCCCAGGAAGGCAGTGGGCCCAGGAAGGCACCCGCATGGGAGACCAGGAGGAAGCACTTGGCTCCTGGCTTCAGATCGGCGCAGCGCACCGACCGGTAGCGGCCATTTTGGGGAGTGAACCAACGGAAGGAAGACCTTTCTCGAAGACCTTTCTCTCTGTCTCTCTCTCTCACTGTCTAACTCTGCCTGTTAAAAGATAAAATTAAATTAAATTAAAGCAATAAATAAAAATAAATAAATACAAGACCAAGACACTGAGAAGTACCTGGCAGGAGAGGAGAATGGTGTTATGAATATGTAATAAGAAATATAATATGGGATTTGACCAAATCAGGAAGATCAAATACAGAATTGATAGTGGGAGCAATGACAACAGAGTTGAAATTTGAACAAGTAACTGTGAACTAGGTGAAAAAGGAAGAGGAAATTATTCAAACCAGAAGGACCAATGAGGTAAAGGCAGCATAACAAGGACATGGAAGATAGGCAGTATAGGAAAAAAAAACACTGTGGCTCAAACAGAGAGCAAGAGAGCAAAGAGAAATGTGGTAGGTAGTCATGCATGAGGTTAGAGGGAATGGAGGATGGTTTGGTTTGGTTTTTATCCTGGGATGATGAAACGAAATCATTGGAGAGTTTTTAATTGGTGTGTGTAGGAGTTGTACAAGTGTGTGGCGGAGGAGGGGAGGTGGAGTGCCCAGATGAGAAATGACACAACCTCATTTTTAAGAACATCATTTTCTTTGCCTTATAAAGAAGGGATTAGAGCAGAAAACAATGGATAGAAGTGCAATGCCATTCAGAAGGCCAAACATTTATCATGCAAATCATGCCATCTTAGACGGATGAGACCAGGATGGAGTGAAATGTCCATGTTTGAGAGGTTATGTAGAAGACAAAAATGACAGGACTTGGTGACGAATCCATGTGAAGAGCAGAGGAGAGCTCTATGTCTAGGATTATTCTAGGCTTTGGGATCTTAATCTGGGTAAATATTAGGACCAATTATGCATAGACTAGACCATCCTATAATATTGTCAAAGAAAATCAAAGAAAAAGATAATGATAGAAGAGGTTTCCACCAGGGTGAGTTGCAGGTATAAGAGGCTGGAAACAATCAAAGCAGACAGCACATAAAAGTCCATCCCAATTAGTGTACACTAAGGGAACCACATTAACTTTATTTTTCTTACATAGTAGTAAACATTTTTCTGAAAGAATCCAGGGGCACCTAAGTTTTCCAAGACACTTTTTGGGGCCCAGGACAACAAAACTCTTTATGATAATGTTGAAATATCAACATTATCACGGGCCATGATGGAAATGCACATCAAAACCATGAAAAGGTATCATACTTTCAGTTCAATTAGCTATTATCAAAAAGATAGGAAACAACAAATGCTGGCCAGGATGCAGAGAAAAGGTGCAACTGTTACGGGAAACTGAATGGAGATGTCTCAGGAATCTAAAAATAGACCTACCACATGATCCATTTCTGGATATATACATATCTACAGAAAATTAAATCTGTGTATCAAAGAGATAGCTGCACCATCATATTTATTGCTGCACTATTCACAATAGCCAGGATATTGAATATACCCCTATAACCGTCAACAGATGAATGGATAAAGAATATTTGGTATCAATGCACAGTAAATATAATTCAGCCACTAAAAAGAATATCTTTTCATTTGCAGCAAAATGGTTGAACTGAAAGCCATTATATAAGTTCAATAAGTTAGAGTAAGAAAGACAGTTACCACATATTCTCTCTCATGTGTGAAGGCTAAAAATACAACTGATTTGTTGGGCAGGATAGGGGAGGGGAGAAACAGAAGTAGATTGACTTATGGATGCTAAACCACGGTTGGATAGGAGTAAGTGTTGGTGTTCCATAGCATGATGGGGTGATGACATTCACAATAACCCAATACATATTTTATGAACAAATAAAAGAGAGTAGCTCAAAAATTCCAAACAAAGCAATGACAAGGAGAGGGGGAAACATTAATTACTCTGGTTCAATCAGTACAATTCAACTTACTGAAATATCACATTACCATATACCATAAGTATGTACAGTTATTAAGTCTTCATCAAAAAATTTTATGATATTTAAAGTGATAGAAATGCTGACTAACCTATTTGACCTTCAACATTGATTATATGTATGCAATTATCACTGCGTATCCCATACAATTAAAATAATAATTTAAAATTTCATGTAAGCGTACACACACGCACGCACACACACACACACACTTGTACTTCAAAGTGGAGTTTCCAGATGACTTGTGATGTGTGATATATCAAAATATTGAAGGCAGAAGGAAATATGAAAAAAAACCTAACTTTTTTCTATTGAGGTGACATTAAAGATATTTGACTACAATGCCAATGATTTCCCTATTTTTCTGGAAAATATAGACTTTTTCATTCAGGATATATCTATTAACATCCAATGAGTTTACAATTTTAATTGTTAATGCATTAATCAACTTTTGAAGACTGTTTTTATTTCTAGTAGAGTATTAATTTTTATAACCCGCATAAATAACTTGGATTTCCCAATAACAATAGATAATATAAAGGTATAGTTTGTGAACTGGTGTAACTAATTAATGAGATGTACCAAGGGACATCAATCACCAGGCAATTTTTCAAATACCGAGGACCCATTGAAGTTCACTTCAGAGAAACACAATTAGTATCAACCAGTTTTTTATTTCTCTGAGAAGCAGTGAACGAACAGATAGAACAAACTGTTATTCAAAATAGGAACTTATTTCAGGGACAAATCTAAGAAACTCCATGCTTCATTCAGGCACTTGATGGGATTTTCAGTCTTGTTATATATTCGCAATGTTTTAAAATCCCCTATGCCCAGAACTCTGTTAAGAGTCACATAGCTGAAATATTTGTGGGCTGCTGACATTTGGGCAGATACTCCTTCTGAGGAAGACGGGGTGAAGGGAGGTAAGGAAGGCCTGTCCCAGGGTGCCCTGGCACACATCCGTCAGACAACAAGAGACATTCCTCCTTCCCTTGGATAGATACGCTGACTGTAACATGGAAGCTTAGATGCCAAATGACAGGGACAAATTTATCATTCATTCAGCAAATGAGGAACTGATAGCAGCACTCAAATCTTGGCTCTGAAAGGTGTAATATCCCAATACCAACACAGCTTCCACTTTTGCTTACTCACTTGTGCTAAAGCTCTAAAAATTCAATTCTCCCATAAGCCTTGGTCTGATGTGTTCCCTTCTGTCTCCCAAAACGAAGGAAAGGGTTCGACAAATAATGGCTTTTCAGAAAATACTTATTGAATGAATGCCATGAGGAGGGGCCAACAACTCTCTGGGTGTTCTCCTCAAGCTTAGAGGCATTGACTTAGGCTCAGGTTCTGCCATTACTATTCCAAAACCTAATTCAGAAGGCTGAATTTAGATTTGCTGTGAACACAAAAGCCAACCACATGCATCTCACTCAGTGGAACTAAACTTACTCTCTCTCTTCTCAGTGAATACCATGCTTACATATGCTTCATCTAAACAAGTTGGGCAATATTTTAACCATTTCTCCGTCCTTGTTCCATTTCCCACTTATCCAACTTGTCATTACATGAACTATGCATTCTTTTCTAAAATAATTAATTAAAGGACAGCACAACAGAGAGAGAAAGAAAAAGACAGAGAGCATCTTCCACCTGCTAACTCACTCCCCAAATAGCTTCAACAGCCAAGGTTGGACCAAGCTAAAGCCAGGAGCCAGGAACTCCATCTGGTCTCCCATGTGGGTAGCAGGGACCCAAGTACTTGGCCTATCATCTGATGCTTTTCCAGGCCCATTAGCAGGGAGATAGATGGGAAGTGGAGCAGTTGAAACTCAAACTGGTATTCTGATGGGGGTGTCCAAGTGGTAGCTTAACCCCACTGTGCCACAGACACCAGCCCCCTGCATTGCAGTCTACCTTTTTGATATTGTTCTATTCTTCCTCATCTTGATTTTCTCACCTGCCTATTGCGTTGACTCACAAGATTGGCTTCTCTTTTATGTTGGAGAGTCTGTTCTGCCTCACCTCATCATAGTTCTCTGAAAGACTTTCATATATTGAAGTTAATTTTTTTAAATTTCCTATGGTCACAGGATTTGAGAAATGAATGCACAATATACAAAATGCACAGAGACATACATACTTGCAAATTCACACGTGTGTATGTGTAAGTATATATTCTGCATAGATATGCAATTATTAGTTGTGCACAGTAAGCAACATTTTTAAAGTATTTTCAAAGATCACTAAGTTTAATGTCCCCAGAGCAATGCACTATCACAAAATCCAGGAGGGATAAGAGTTCAGTACAGTGGGAAAAGGTAGTAGAGAAAAGGAACTTAGGGTGTTGAACTCGCCTGATTGCTGAGGAGCCCTTTCACGTCAGACAGAGGACTTTGGAGAAGTATCCATAAGGAAGCAAAGGAGCTGGGAGCTCAGGCCCCTTAAGATGTCCGTGCCCACAGAACCTTTGGAGAATCTTCCTATGGCCCTGGGTTTCCTGGACAGCGGTTTGGAGATCACTACTCTCAATCCTAAAGTAGGACCACTTCCCCTGCTTCAATTTCCATTCATGGCAACCAGATGAGCTCTTCTCATTTCCTGCTTGATGTGCCTCATATCAACTGAGCTTTTCTCATCCTCTTTAATTTCTCTGTTGTTACTCCATACCCATGTAGACTCACCCACCACATCTTCAATACTGCAGAGCTGCTGTGAGCACACATGTCTTCACACCTGGCCTAATCACAGCCACATTGTAGAAGTGAAATAAATACTATCATTATGAGATAGATAATGCCTCTCTCTAGGTGTTGGATAAGTTGTGTCAATTATGATTTTCTAATACAGGCATCATGTGATAAAATCAGAATTTAACCACCTTCATTCAACCATCAACAGGGTGACACAATCAACTCTAATCTTTTCTTTAAACACATTAAAAATCAAGGATGACCTAGCTTGATAGAATCAGAAAGTTGACCCAAGAATTTAATGATAGAAATATAAAGTAATCATCAATTATCTGTTACAACCAGTGCAAGTAAGTGGGAAAAAAAAAAAAAAAACTGTGCTACTGCTATAAAGAAGGAAACTGCCAGACTGTGGGCTGGGTCATATGTCAGAGAATGGTGGGCAGCTTCTTGAAGCTGGAGATCTCAGCCACAATCACAAGAAACTGATATTGAACTTGAACTAGGATGCTAAGTCTTAGATGAGATGGCAAGACTGGTGGGCACCTTAATCACGAACTTGTGAGACCTTAAGCAAGGAACCCACTTGAGTCACATCAGACTCATGGCCCACAGAAGCTATGAGACAATGAAACATCTTTGGTAATATGTCAACTTTCAATAGTAAACTAAGATACAATGGAAACCATCACCAAGTTTCCTGGTTTTGCACTTCAAGTTTTGCTATATATCAGCATAAACATTTGAAAAAACATTCAAAAAAGATTATCTAAGGTTGTACTTCATTCACTTCAATAAAACAACCATCGCTTTATTTCTATTTTTATGCCATTATCATAGGTACACATATTCTTAAACTAAAATATCATCCTCTAATAAAGTATTTCTAAACTATTCCCAAAGCTCAGGAGATTATTTTAATCTTAATATTGTAAGTTTGGTTGACAAATTCTATGATAATTTTCTTAGAATTAATATCTGATAAGCACTACTCTCTAAGAAAGCCATTAAATTTATTGCATGTCAATTTCATCATTGGTTAATTCCTCTTTTCACAAAAAATAAAGAAGACTTTAATAGTCAGGAAGCATCATATTAATTCTATTTGTCTTCTCTTCTAATATATTTTTAAAATATCCTAAATATTGCTTTTGAACTGAAGAGGAGGGCAACACTTGGGTGTCTTAGTGTGTGCATGCCAGTCAAAGGGTGAATTTGCAGGTGAGTGTGTGTGCACGCATGTGTGTTGGCACTGGTCTTATTGCAGAGACAAGACTTATAGGATCACCTAAAACTCAAAACAACAGAAGGGAAACAGTTGGTTTATTGTCCTTAACTGGTCTAGGATGAAGGAAAGATTAAGAAGATTAAACAAGTCAATGAGTGGAACTAGCCCAATCTGTACAGACGGAACACTGTCACAGGACCCTTGTTTTATTTTCAAGGATAAAGCAGGTGACTTCATTTCCTGGGAACATTGTGTTTCCCTCTGAGAAGCTTCTAGACCCTAAAGTGAGTCCACATATGCCTGGCACATCCCGTTTCTATGGGCTGTACAAGAGGTGTCCACAACATTTCCTTTTATTAGCAAGTCACAGTTGAGCGACATTGACCTTAGCATGGGTACAGTGGGAAAAACACTGGAGCAGGTTTGTCCAGAAAAATATCGTCATCATGCTACTATGGGGAAAGATGCAAATACCTATCCATGTCCTCATAACTATGCACATTACCCTGGGTGCAGGTGCCCGACCTTAGGCAGTTTATTTATTTTATGTCTCTGTATATAAGTGCAAACCTTTATGTTATCAAGCTAACTTATAACAGTGTGACACTTGAAAGTATTTATGAAATCTATTGATCTGAAAGCACTTTAGAATCCAGTTGTAAAAAAGGAGATTTGAATTCAAAGAAACAAAAACAGGTCTACAGAGGGGTCTTTAGAAAGTTCATGGAAACGTGTATGATGATGAAACTCTACATGGACTTCAAACATCAAAATAAACATCTTTTAATTCCATTTTCCATGAACTTTTTAAACTTCCATGAAGTCTCCTCACACAATTTCAGAGAAAAGCAAAAATGTGTCAGTTAACCATGGAGGAGAGGACCCTGTATCTGGACTTCAAGGATATCACAAGAAAAAAAAAAGTTTTTTGGCATAAATTTAGCAGAGCTAGATAAGGACCATCTTATAGAAGGGGCTGGTGCTGTGGCAGCATCCCATTAGGGCAGTGCCAGCATCCCATAAGGGGACCAGTTCAAGTCCCGGCTGCTCCACTTCCGATCCAGCTCTCTGCTATGGCCTGGGAAAGCAGTAGAAGATGGCCCAAGTCCTTGGGTCCCTGTACCCACATGGGAGACCCGGAAGAAGCTCCTGGCTCCCTACTTTGGATCAATACAGCTCCGGCCATTGTGGCCAACTGGGGCGTGAACTAGCGGATGGAAGACCTCTCTCTCTCTCTCTCTCCCTCTCTCTCTCTCCCTCTGCCTCTCTTTATCTCTCTGTGTAACTCTGACTTTAAAAAAACAAATAAATAAATCTTTTTTTAAAAAAAAGGAAAAGAAAAGGATAGTAGAGACTGATTAAAAACACAGGATGGATCATCATACAGGCTGGGTGCAAGGACAGCCAGGGGCCTAGGGACCAGCTACGGCAGACTGAAGACATCCATGTGCAGCTCCTATTGGACTTAACTCTTCTCAACTGCAGCCTCTGTCAATCACCAGAGGAGTTCACAGCCAGCTCATGCTGAGTCCCCAAGGAAGACGGGTGGGAAGGATGCAGGACTGAAGGGTAAGAAGCAAGGTCCTAGCTTCTGCTGTCCTACTGACTTTGTGATGCTGCACACCTGCCCTGGGCTTTCTCTTCATATGAGGACTTTTCTTATTTTCTTGATAGCATGTGAACATTTAGGACTTTCTCACAAGGCATACACATCTTCCATTTATGTGCGAACTTCTGTTTTTACCTCTTGCAAAATAACGGCTTCCTGAAAAATGCAAAAGATGGGGCAGGATGATGTAACCCATTTTAGAAACATTAAAACCTGCACACGTGAAAGCATCGAGTAAAATAGTTGTTAACCTGCCTCACTAATAATCGCCTGCTTAGATCCAGTCCATGAAAGGAAAAGGAAGCAATAAATTTGACCCTAACTTACCACACATTTTAATTGCACAGTACTCCCAGGGGGTGTCAGGGTCAAGAGTATAACACCATGGCCTCGGCTTGCCATCAGGATTGCGGCAATAATTATCATCAAAGCCCTTGTCGGGATATCTGCAAACCACACCAAGAAAAGTGTCACGTAAATCTGCCTGGAGTCACCACCCAGCCCTCGGCTTGCAAAACAACTCCCCTCTTAGTGTGGATACCACTAGCTAGGGCAGAAGAACATTTCCTCTGTCTTGCCTTGCAAGGACCGCTAATCATTGACTACTAAATGGACTAATTGACACATTCCCCAAAGTGCAGACTGCCATCCCCTTTGCTAAGCTAGGTCCATTTGGTACTTGTCTACCAACGGAGGTCCCAAACAGAGTCCCCTTCTCACAGAGCCCCAGTGAAGGACAGATGACATAAACATGACCCCCTGTAGAATGCTCATTAAGAAAACAGGCCCTCCACTAGGGCAGGCTTTAAGTTCACACTGCAAGTGGGGTTTCAATAGCTCTGTTGCTAATGATAGCCCAATGTGGGAAACAGAACCTTCTAGGTCATGCCCTCACCTCCACCAGAGCAAGGAGCCCAACTCCTTCTCCCCAGCCCAGCCCACCTCCCTTTAAATCTAGTCTTGAATTAGTGACTTGATACTAATTGCTACCATATCCCTTCTCTTCTCTCTGGTAAGGAAAAAAAATGCTCTTAAGAGATACACCAGAGTGAGTTTTAATTTCACTTAAAAAAAAAAAAAAAACCAGAAAGCAATAGAGGAGGGGGAAGAGAAAGAAAATACAACTTCCAGCAATTTCATCATGGTTTTTATCTTTTATCAGAAAAATAAAGGGATTTATTGGAATTTCTTTTTTTTTTTCAATTTAAAAGTTTTATATGAAATAAATTGTAGACATCCTTAGTTTGGGGAACTATTTGAGCTCAAAATCTATTCCTGAGGAAGAAGACAGACTTAACTGCCTAACTTCAGCATACTGGCCATCCATATTGGCACCTTCAAAATACACCAGTTAAGGGAGGGCATGGTGGTATGGTGGGTTAAGGCACCGCAGGGGATGTGTGTACCTCCTACCAGAGTTCCAGAGGTTGAAATCCACCTCCACTTATTATCCAACTTCCTTCTAAGGCACCTGCTGCTAAGGCAGCAGAACATAGCCTAGGAACTTGGGTTTCTGTCACCCACTTGGGAGAAAAGGTAGAGCTCCCGGCTCAGCTCAGCTGTTGTGGGCTTTAGAGGAGTGAACCTGAGATTGGGAGTTCTCTCTCTCTCCCTCTCTCTCAGCCACTCCACCTTTCAAATAAAGAAAGCAATAAAAATAATGCCCCAGGAGAAAGCAAGCATGAAATTTTTGTTCCACCTTTCATTCCCTCTCTATGAACATGACCTAGATCATGGTGTTACCTATGTGAGTCCAGAGTACCTGAGTCTCTGAAGCAGCTGTCTGGAAGGAGACCAGTCTGTACTGAGCTATGGTGCCTCCTCCTACAACACAAGCCTGTCAAAATGACCATCACTGAATAGGCCATCTTAGTGACATTACTGGCAGGAAAGAGGGAGCCTCTGTTAGTGCTTCCACTCAGCACCTCAGCAATGGTCCAAGTTCAGGACCACCCTGATCTTAGGAACCTTAATCTCCTCAGCCAAGGCCCATTGAAAGTGTGGCCTGTGTAATCATGCACCTGTTATAAATCTCTTTGCCCTAAGAGTCTCCTCCATGTACCCTGACTCCAACACCTCAGTCAGAAGAATCCTGAGCAATCAGGGAGTCCTGAATCTTAGGTCCAAGCCCCACTAGGAGAATGTCATAGAAAGAGAATGTTCATGACTGCTTGTCATGGAGCAAAATGACAGCTTGTGGAAAGAATTGTGGGAAGCGTGGTTCAGTGCTTTTACCTTTCGGGCAAGAATTTGTGCCGGTGTGGTGTCTGATGGTCCCAGCGCTGACAAATCTTGCCTGATTCTGTGTGATCCATGGGGCCTCGATAACTTTCCCCATTGCAGGTCATACATTCAACTAATAAAATTAAAGTAGGGCATGTTAATTGTTTGTGACAGCAAAATCAAGAACACCACTGTCCCTTTTAAAGAACAGTAAATCACCTGTTTCACAAGTAGATTTCAGAACCCTACACACATCCTTATCTCTTTAAAGTAGAGTTTAATGTCCATCACCAGTGGCATAAAATACACCGTGCAGAACCCTTCGCAAGGCTTAAGTGAGATTTTTGTAACTTTTGTCAGACCAATTGACCTGAGTGTCAGGATGCTGTCCATTTAACTTTTAATAACTGTGCAAAAAGTTATGTAGAAATTGGAAATATAGACCCTGGGGATTTTTCTATTATTGCTCTAAAACGTAAAGATCTCAGTATGTGTACTGTCAGCACAATAGTGTTGCTCTCTCCACTCCAAACACATAAACAGGAATTCCACAATGTACACTGGGCACGTGTCATACTCTGACAGTTTACGGCATAATCAGGAACTGACTGGTTTTAGACCAGGTTCAGATGGAATTCTGGTACAATTCGAAAAACGCAGATATTTTTAAAAAAAGAATTCATGACTCCTTCTTGCTAGCGAACATCCATGTTGAATAACTGGGCAGACTCATGTTTTTATCTAGCTTAGAAAATGACCTACTATTGAACTCTTCATACTCATTCTTTTTAAAATTTATAAGCTGATCTAATTATGCAGGATCTCACTGATGATTCTAGAAGGTCAATTAATTGTTCTGGCTGGCTTCTTATGTCACATCGAAAACTCTGCAACACCTCAACTAGCTGAAAATGAGACTTCTCAAATGGATAGTTTGATTTGTAGCATAGCGTGCATCCTGTGGAATAAATCATTGCTTGGCTTTCCTACAAATCCGGCAAATTTCCCCAACACGTAATTTGTATCTTGTGATTACTGATCATCTAACTTTAGCAAAAGTGGGGGAAGATATCAGTGTTTCATTTTGCCCATTAGGATCCAGCCTAGCAAGTATGTGTAGTGATTTAGAATGTAATCTCAGAATCATCATTTTTGAATTTTTTAATTTTTATAATCAAATAAAGCCTTGACTATTAATTTTCTGAAATGCGTGACCACTTGACTTGATCCATCTACTTCCTTTCATGTAGGTTAATTCATGAACTAAGTAAGACAAGGGGCCAATTCAGCTGCCCTTCATTTGATACTTGGATTTGCCAGACTACAAACAATATGCACCTGAGAGGCCTCCAGGAGCATATTGATAAAGGTGCTCAGGTCAGCCAAGATCTTCTCCACATTGAAATGTTCAACACAAGTTATGCATCATCACATTACAGCTCTTACTGCATTTGAATGGGGTTCAGATTTATTTAGTTTCCTTTCTAAAAGAATGCAATATTTGATATCTTCAAAGAAAATGATAGGGTACTACCATTGTTGTTTGCTCCTTCACATTGAATGAAACAGTAAAATAGAATTCTATAGTCACACATTAAACATAAGCACTCATATGTGCAGTGTCTACTCTTGCATAATACTCAGGAATCAGAATATATATGTTATGTTTCCTTCAACAGTTTCTAATAGTATATTTCTTTCTAATGAAAGCAAATAAAATTATTTTCTGAGAAGCAGTACTACTGGCATTAGTATAGGACATTTTTTTCTGAACTTGTAGATTGTAATATCCTTAAGGACAAGTAGTTACACAAATGAAGCAGATGACTCTGTTGGATGAGTCCTTTTCAGAATGAGTGTTTGATCAATGTTTCCACAACATTAATGTGCATAAAAATCACCTTTGGATTTTGTGAAAGGAAAAATTCTGATTCAGCTAATGTAGGCTGAGGCATTAACTAATAGAAAGCTGCCAGGGGATGGCAAAATTGCTGATGCCTGTACCTCACTCTGAGTACCAAATTTGTAGATAATATACTCCACACTAAAAGTTCTCAGTGTTTGGTGATAATGATGCTTTTTTTGTTTAAGAAAGATTGGATTTTACCCAGCCTTTGAAGGATGGATGACAATTAGAAAGGTATAAAGAGAAAAAATAAAATGGCTCAGAAACATGAATTAGGATGTTAAATTTCTAGTAAAGTGCAGAGAGAGTGATTTGTTGGCCTAACAATATAAAAATAACCAAAAAACAGTTAGCAAGAATAATGTTAGCTGTTGGAAGGCTAAGAAAGTTACTGGAGTGGAATTCAAAATATCCTGTGAAACAGCCAAGATGCAAAATACATTATAGGTTTCTATCTATCTATCTATATAATTGATTTCACACTTTTAACACATAACATATCCTTGATTGGTGCTATGAGGAAAATGAGGCTAACAAAAGTTCTAAGGAACTTACCTATAACAGAATGTCAAACCTGTGTCTGGAGCATGAGTTTGTGACCCATAGTCTAGTGTTCTTTCCACTATCACACATTGCCTTTTTGACCTCCATATTTTGACTTGCTTCCTACACATCCTAACTGGCCAGACTTGAAGACAGACTGAATGCAATAATGCTAGGAGTCGATATCCTTGCCCCTTCCAGCATTGTCATCGTTATTTTTGCCTCTTGTTTGCAACAGCAAGTTGTCCTGCTGTTAAATGGCCTCTTATTGGAGGAGGGGGAGCAGAAGGCCAAGGGAAAACCCACTAGATTGGTCCACTTATCCAAGGGAAATAAATGAAAAGTTTGTTCTTTTACTCTTGAACCAAACCATCAGGTTAGTTATAAACATCACTCCAGAAAGCCGAATTTGGACCCCATATTAAGTTTTCAAGCTTGTGGAATTCTAAGAAACATGTTCTCAGCTCGACGTCAAGCCATCCAAGTGGGAACCTAATCCATCTACTCAAGGAAACAAGTACAGTTGAACTGTGTCACAGGGAAAAGGGTGTGAAGATCACCCTTTGGCTCTATCATTGCCAGTGTACCATTTAACCATTCTGACAAGTGCTTCCAACATAATAGCAGTAATGAGAAATAAAGCACTGTCCCACATCACATGGACTCAAACTAAATAGCTTCTGTTCATAAATGCAGTCTATTTTCTAAGTATAGCTCTGGTCTAAACAATAGAAGACCACAACAAAAACTATACCTAAATTGCACTATAGGAACAAGAAATTTTACAATTTCTCACCATAATAATTAGCAAAAAAACTCAAAATTTGTGTTCCCTTTGCTCAGTCATAAACCCATAAGCAATGTGGATTTAACGAGTAAAACAACTATTTCAAAGTATTTGAATCTACTGTTAATCAGTGTTGATTTTACTCCCATAAAGGGTATCTTGGAAAAATCCATGCAGATGATTTCTTTAGCAAAATGAATGCTTAAAATATAAATAATCTCACAAACCCACATTTCTAAAAACAGTTTTATTTAAATCTTTGTTTTCAAAATTTTTTCTCTAGACTCTATACTTAAACTTTTGAAATTGTTGGTATTTTTAAGTTTAAGATATCTAACAATAATGATGATGGCTTAGTGAAAATGTATTTACCTGAATATTTGACAATCATAATTGGCATCTGCTCCAATGACTAATAAGTTATTTACCTTAAGTCCCAAGCAAATGCTAAAGCAAAAAATTGGATCTTATATGCCTTAACTTTCTGTAATTTTGAATTAATTACTCATTTCTTCTTCACATAATTATGTAAGATCCTTTTCAAAAAAGTAAGCAGGTAAAAAATTGTAACTAGCATGACGTACTTGATAGATTGTATATTGACCAAATTTAGCTAATTGGTATATAATAAATATAATATCCCATAGACATTTGGGGTGAGAAAACTTAATATCAATTCTTAGTATATTTGAATATATTATGACTACAGGTACGATGTTATACAATGTATCATTTGAATTCATTCCCCTATGCAACTGAAAGTTTGTAAATATGATAAAAGATCAGTGGTTTTCATTTGGAATAATTGCTGTATTTCAGGTTTAAATTTTAAAAAAATAATATTAATAATTGGCTATCAGATACTTTTAGTATCTAAAATATTAGCCAAATTTCAGATGACTATTTAGACAAGAACTTAATGTAGTAACATAAATGTCAAAAAATACATACTGCTCTTTATGTCTTTTTCCAAAGAACAGCACAAAAGTTGGCCACAGGTATTTTTCTTGTTTAAGTTTAAATATACAGAATGCTTGATAATTGTTAAGTCATCCATAACAATGTAGCATTTGGAGTTTGCTATTCAATAAATTAATATTCACAGATGAAAATGGCCAACCATTATACCGTTTAACTACATTAGATTTTGAGGTTTCTACCTCTCATGTATTTTAGTAGAAATGGATATCATATGCACTTTATTTTGTACATTTTGCATTATCTATTCTAAAAATAATGATGTTTTCTCCACTAATGTACTGACAATGCTGATTTGGAACCTCTTCATGGAATAAAACTTTGTTCATTTTATCTGGATTTTAAAATATCACAATTCAAGTCACAGTCACTAAAAACATGTTTAGCCTACGAGGCAGGTGTTGATTCCATTTTCCCATGGGAAGGTTGTTCTACTCTCGTCAGACCTCTAATTGTTTCCAGAAACTGCAAATCTGCAACATTTAGTGCCACAGTGGCCAAGGGCATCATGAGCCATTAGTACTAAGGAGCAATGCCCTTTGCTTAGGATATGCTGACCTGGAACTGTGAGAGGATGAGAGTTGCATCATAACAAGAAAACAGAAAATACAATTGATGCCATTACTTCTTATCTAGCATGTGGTTTATTCAAAACCACCTAGTGTCCCAGATCTACATTTGTGTATTTTGATAAAGTCTCTTCTTAGAAACCAGGGATTGAAAAATCACCTTCCCATAAAGATTAAGAAAATAAAATAAAATGCTAAGATCTTTAAAATATAACCAAGTTACCTGAGTTTGAAAACAATTCTCCAGGTCAAACGAAACCAATAAATATATTTGTTGCCAATGATTTTCAATTTCAGAAAGCTGTGGTGATGCAGATCCCTCTAATAGTAAGGACTTTTTTAATGTGCATATTTAAGACAAATATTAATTACAGATTTATTCATACAAAACAGACTTGTTCATGACGTTATCACAGATAAGTTTATTATTTTTAAAAGAAAAGAAAACAATGAAGAAGTTATAGGGAACAGAATATGATATGGAATGGAAAGTAAGAATTTACAAACAGAAATGGAACTGGCTCTAGCACATGAAGTCAATGACTTTAAATTAACCAACAGCAGAAAACAAATCCACCTTCTCTGTGACAATTAGATGACAATGGCCTTTACTTTGTATGTAATAAATATCAATCTAGTATTAAATGAATATTCATGAAGAAAATACTTCAAAAAATATCTGATTAACACACAGTAAGATCTCTTACTATAAAAATGCATGGCATTCAAGCAGCCCCTCCCCAACCCAAAGTAATCTCAAAACCCTAATCAATTTCTAATATAATGCAAATCCATGCTTCATTTGGATTTTTGGAGTTTTAGTTTCTGACGGAACTGGAAAACCTAGCTTTTCTGTAGCTAGATAACTAAGAAAAATAAAAACCACATATACTGCCCCAATGGTCACTCTTGCATCTTGCCATTCATTGGACAATGCCCTTATGCTGGGGAGGAGGTACAGAGGTGGCCTTAGGGTTTCTGCATTCAAGATGGCTGGGATCCTCTACTTGGTCTCTTCAGATACTACTCTGAATGGCATGTCCAGTCCATGTGTCAAGCAGTTCTATCCCCATTTCCACCATAACACACCTGGGGATGTCCAGCTTATATTGTCTTCTGGATTCATGTACCCTTGCCAACCCCACTTCAGAGCAGTTTGGAGCAGAACCAGCTATTGGAAGGATAGGACTGGCCTTGCTAGTAAGGACAGGAGGTAAGCAAGCCCACTACCCCAGAGGCAGGTCTCAGGCTATGCTGGAATTCAGACTGACAACTATCTCCCTCACTTTGCTTTCATCTGGTGATCATAAGCTGGTTTTCAAAACATTGGGTAAAAAGGCTCAAATCACGATTGATAGTTGCACTGGAATAAACAACACATATAGGGTGATTGATTTGTTTCTGTTCACCTTTAATGGGAGTTACAGTTCTACACAGAGGGGGAATAGAGTGCCCCACGTGGCATTCAGGTTCATTTACCTTCTGAACATTGAGGAATGTCACAGACTTCGTAGCGTACCTCTGGATTGCTTGTGAAACACCACGGTCCCCCTTCTTCCCCACGAGGATTTCGACAGTAGTTTTCCTGTAGGTCTTTACCGCGATAGCTCGAAGGCAAAAAGCTAGTTTTAAAATGATAATCATTACAGTATAAGAGCATGCAACTTTATGTGGGGCCTATTCATTTTACTAATGAGTAGGTATATTGTCTTGAAAGTACAGAAACTTTATCCCATATGCCTTCCTATAGTTGGACTTTGCCATTTTCGCCCATTCTTAAAATATTTGAATTTTGATACCCTTCACCTCACTGTGCATTTCTATGTTCAACATCAAGCTAGGAATGACTACTCTCTGATTTGCTAATACTTGAACACACCAGAACTGAACTCACATTGTTTAATATTCAGTTAAAGCTCCACTCAAAGGAAGCAAATAGTTGGATCAAGGTCACTTAGCAGAGAACTGAGGATATTGCAAGGGACTTTGAAACCTCGCTATTATTATTATTCCTTGTCTGAGATCCTTATTGTTTGTTTATTGTTTTACTTTTGAAAAACACCCCCTTTTCACTCCACCCATATCCGGCCTCCTACACAATTGAGAAACAAACTTATGAACTAACATAAAAAACGGCTCCAGAATCTAATTAAACCAGAACTCAAACTTCAGCTCTTTCTCTTATGAGAAGATTCCCAACTAAAAATTCAACCTCTATGAGCCTGTTTGCTTACCTGCACACTGAGTATAACCATAACTGAAAACCTTATAACTTCTATAGTTGTTTTGAGAAGTTCAGAGAGATGACAGAGTAAATACTGACACTTAACAAATTCTACTTCTTGTTGGGTACACTTCATGTTGCAGTCTCTACTCTGTCCTAATTGTCTATTCTCTTTAAAAATCTTGAAAAGTCGGCTATGACTGGGCTTGGTTCTCCCAGTGATAGGGTGCAGTAACTGCAATATCTATTACATGTTATCACTAGCATAAAGTACTCTAACACATCAGAAAAGCCAAAGTATTTTATAATGGACTCAATAATAGTAACTTTGTCTTTTAGACTTCTTGCAAAATAACATAATAATTTTACTAGTAAACTTTTTTTTTTGCAAATCCAGTCACATTTTCAATATTCAGTTTGGTTTTTGCTACAAAGCTTTATTTCTACTTTTACTGATCTCTGACTTCTAGAGGGTACTTAACTAAATAAAAACCAAGGATTTTCATCTGTAAGTAAATATGAATGAATGAAATGTCTTCCCTACCCAATACAACCTCTAGTCAAGAAGTTATCTTTTTTAAAAAATATTTTGGATAGAATGAACACAGACATGCATTGGTATCCAGCAATATTTTCCAGTGAAATTCTTTCATTTGGACATGAATGTTCACCATAATCAAGTCCTCAGAAAATATAAGCTATCTGTCAAAAAGAAATAGCCTACTCTAAAAGAGTAGTATTTTTATTAAATAAATCTTTTTAAAGAACCAGTTAAATAGTATAAACATTAATGACTCCAAAATGCCTTCAGATAACAAGTCTATATTCTTATTTCACTATCATTTCAATATGGAAAATGAAAATAAGACATTAGGCTATATGACAAAAATTATGATGCAATTAAACCTTATCATTTCACAGTTCATAGCAGTAATTTGTTTTCAAAAAATAGAGTCATTTGTGCTTTGTCTTAGTTTCAGTGCCATTGTTCCAGGGTATTTTAGCATAACTTTTGATTGTTACATTGCTTCAACTTTATTTTCTTTCATTTTTGACACTTCACTTTTCATGGCAAATCTATATGAAAGCACTTTTTTCTCTGATAGAATCAAAATTGAGTTTTGTTTTATATATTTTCATAAAGTACAGCAGAACTTAAATTCTCATCAGAAAATTCTATTGTAACTCTTTTATGAAAAATCTTGGTACAGTACAAAGCATAAGCTATTATTAATCACAAAGCCAACATTTTTGCTCCATATACAGCAGCCGACTTAATATATGACACTGGTCCTTAGACAATTTATTAACTCTCTGAGTGTTTCAATTTCTTCACTTACAAGATTTATAGACTGAACAAGATTTCTGTACCAAGTTTAGCACAAGTTGAATAGACACATACTCAATATTGAATGTTTTAGAGAGGAGTTTTCATTCCATACACACATGGAAAGCAATACACACAACATATACCTTTCCAGCAGATTTGTAAAGCCAAAGAGAAGCTGGGAAGAAGCAGTGAATGAATCAGTCAATAGGTTAGTATGAAACATATAGGTGGGAAGGAAAAGAGACAAAGTGGAAATCAAACTGAGAAACAGCCAGAAAGAGTGCCCCCACCAAAGTTAATAAAATGAAGAGATGCGCTTCTGTCTGTAACTTTTAACCCATTCTTCAGGATGCAGATTAAAGAGTCTGCATCATCTCTTCTCTTCGTTGGTATACAAGTTTATTTCAAAGTCTGTTGGATACGCCATACATACTCTTTTGATAAAGCAAGCAATTTCCATGAGCTTTTTGAAGACCCCATGTCTTTGACCTTTTACTCAAATTAACATGTTTAGGCTGCTAATCTGTAGCATCCCATGTTTGGCCAGAGGATGAAGCTAGCCCTGCTCTGTTCAATTAGCTGTGTTCATTCGACAAATGCTTGTGAGAACTTGCTACACACAAGCCTTGAGCCAGGTAGTAGCTCTGTAATATGCTTTTATTTGCATAAGACTATTTTTAGGTCTTTGTCCTTGCTGCTAGCAGGCTTTAAGAGAGATAGTGAGGAAATATTTAAAATTGGGTTATACCCAAATATACTTTGAAATATAAACTACGTCCTCTGGGTGCTAGCCTCCCTTTCTTTTCTTTTAATATAGACTATGTTCAAAGGAAACTTGAACTGTTCCATCATCTGCTTCATTTATGAATAGTGGGTGGCTAATGAAGGATAAAGATGTAGATATCAGGTCACCTGCTCTTCTGATTAAGCTTCAATACTAATTTCACCATCTATCATCATCTTCCTATTAAGTCACTTGTCAAATATTTCCATTTAGGGAGTCAACAATAAATCCCTCCTCCAGACAGAGGCATATTTCTTTTTCTCTTTCCCATAAAATTAATCTTGAGTTAACACTTAATTTAAAAGTGTCAAGCTATCCTTCAGATATTCCAATAGGCTGCTAATTGCTGAAAATTAAGTGTTGGTCTTGTTGGATACAAAAGAAGATTTGATGAACAGAAAAGATTCTCTGGACTGTAAACATCTGTATCTGTAGGAAATAGTCATTGGTAAAGTAGCTGATCGGACTACTCAGCAGAGAATCACAATCATAGAGAACTTGGGTTGAAATCAGACCTCTACTAGGTCAGTCCAGTGCAGTCTCCTGGACCAGGTAGGATTGATTTCAAATGATATTCTTTTGTTCATGAAAACTTAGATCTATCTGTTTAAATAAGATGTTTTGTTTACCATGCAAGGAGCAACATCTTGCAAACCCTTAAGAGAACAAACTCAATTACATAGTTTGTAATGTAAAGATAATACTACATTTCAGAGGTGTTCCTGTGTAGTTGTAAGTAAGTAATTTGGGAAAATTATTGTTTTCTGTTATTTGAACACTATAGGGCTGTTCACCTTGGACACTTACTAGATGGTGTTAATTATGCTGAGATCACATGTTCTAATCCCAGTGTGAAGCCTTGAAATCTTGCTTTATTTTTCAGTCAATTTACTCATTTCTATTTACTAAAGTAAAATCAGCTTACAAAAATGATGCCAAAAGAGTGGAATAGAATAAAAAGTGAATTCATCAAGGCAGAGTCATCACCCCCATGACTAAAAGAAGACACAGCATGTGTTGTATGGATAGGCCAAGTGTTTCGTGCCCTGGGATTCTTAAAAGCACATGTTATAGAGTAATATTGGCTGGGCTTCCATTCTAGGGAAACCACTTACTAGTTGTCTATGACCCTGAAAATTTATAAGGTTCTTTGTGCTTTCCTTTCACCGTGTATATAAAATAGAACTAACAAAACTACCCACTATGTGGTTCTCCTGAGGATGAAATAAAATAAACCAAGTCAACTGCTCAGCAAGGCACTTGGCACGTGGTTAACAAAAACCTTTCAATGGAGTTCACAAACCAGAGGAGAGCTGTTTTAAAGAACTTTAGTTCTTCTTGCAATTATTTGTGAAGTCCTGAAATCTGAGGCTATATTTGGTATTCAGCAGGCATTAGACATGTCTGGTTTTTTTTTTTTTTTTTCCTATCAGGATGAGAACTCACAGTCTAATGAACAGATAGATACTATGTTTACCGGTCTTTAAATAGAATCCATCTGTTATAATGAACACAACCATCCTCTTCAGACAAGAAACTTAGCTTCTATGGAAGAAGTTTTGTGGAGTCTTTGGACAACAGGTGAAATAGGGAAGCAGGTTGATCCAAGCTTTGAGCCATGGTTCTCAATGTGAGCTGTACTTTGGGGAGTTTATGAAGTACTGGTGCCTTATTTCCCCTGGAGATTTTTGGCTATAACTAACCCACGTTACCACCTGGGAGACGGGCTTCCTCAAAGGTGAGCAGTAGGTGATTTTAATGCACAGTCAAGCTCGGAATCCACGGAAGGGGAAGAACACTCAGCTCTCACTGAGGCCAGAATCTCACCCACCTCCACTTTTGCACAGTCCACCTGCCCGTGTACGTAAGGCTGCACTTTCTCCAAGGGTAAATGGGAAAGAATGAAATACTCACTATGTTTTCATAAACACCGTGACCAACACATTGAAGCACTGAGGTAGGACAATATTGGGGCATATATTAATGGTAAATGTATTCATCATTTTCTAGATCCTCATCTTGAGTTCACATAATCTTTGGCCTAATATGAGGCAATAAAGTTGAGCAAGCTAGTACAGAACTGTAGAATTATCCTGAAGGCCTCATGCGAGACTTCTCTTCACACTATTCTTACCTGTGTTCATGTGGTATCATGGAACTCCAGGGCTGACACTTGATGCCACTCTTAGTAATAGACACTGTTCCCTTATAGCTGCCTCCTTTACCAATGATGCAGTTTCTAATGTAGTCTATCAAAGAAAGCAGAGGAAGATGTCATAACTATGTGAAGCGTAGGCTATATGCATGGAAGAAGAAAAAACACAATAAAATCCATTTCAAACTTCTGCACAATTTCAACTAACATTGAAATATACTGCCTAAAGCTTCTACTAAAATTTTCTGAGTGGCACATTCCAGAACAATCCAAAACAAATGAACAGGCTGATGAGTGAGAATTTTTAATTTTATGAGTATATACAGAGATTAATCTCTGTCCTAGCCAGGCATTTGTGATTTATACAAATATACAGACAAGAAAATATTAGAAACAAAAACTAAGTGATTTTTAAAATATATATAGAATTCAGAAATTTTCTTAATAAAATTAATTAATGGCCCTCTTTATCTCAGCAAAACTGTGTGGCTTTTTGTGTAGCACCACGCGTGTAAAAAATGACTACACTGGGTGACTGTTTTCCATACTTTTGCTACCGCTGCTGCTGTCACAATTTATACAACTTTTAGTAACAAGATGCATATTCCTATCAAATAATGGCAGATGCAGTTGTTAGCAACCGAGAAGAAAGACTGAAGTAAGAATGGTCTTGTATTAGATCATTGCGTGTAAGAACTGCAAATTCTTGGGGTATAAGGAGATTACCTCATTTTCTACCATAAGTTAATTTTTTATTTGATTTAAACATGTATGCTATTGACATGAAAGCATCTGTATGTAGTACCCCATACTCAAATTTAATGGAACCGAGTATGACTTTTTGAAGAAACATAGAAATAAGTGCTGTTTTCACAAGCATAATCCATAATAATTATTAGTGTGATTAGAGAATTTGTAGAACTCATAGTTAATAATCCACAGTTATTTCATTTATATAATTATACTTTCAAACAAAATAAATGCTTTTCAATACAATTGCAGACCATCATAATAGACAAAATCAACATATAATATGGCCTCAAGTCCTCTTTTAAAGATTTTTACAGTATATGAATTACTCTGTTTTCCAAAATTTCCATTTTTATGTTATCAGTATTCATCACCATCACTTAGATTGATTTCTAGAGTTTATTAAAACATAAAATACTATAATAAGTTCAAAACTTGCCATGGAGTACTTTGAACTGATCACTTAGAAAGGATACTTTACAATTAACATGGAGAATCCCAGTTCTAGGAGAAAAACCTAGAAAATCACTGAAGTGGGGGAGGGCCTCTAGATTATGGAAAGTATAGGAAGTCCTCTCTTCAGTCTAAAATACTGTACCAGCTTCACCTGTCTTAACCGATGAAATGACTTCATAACACATAGAGCATATAATAGAAAAACCAGTTGGGAAGTATACTTTGGCAAGAAATTACTGTATGTATTTTGTACTTTGTTTCCTAATGCATTATTTAGGGGGAGGTCAGTTACCTTTGTTTTCATAGAGGTCAAATTCATGACCAAACTCTTTTTTCACTCCACTGGACATGCTATTGAAAGGAAACCAGAGGCATCGTTTTTTTGTTTTATCAAAAACAAAGGCCCTGAAAGAAAAAAAAAATCTGAATGAGTAAAAGCAATACCACCACTTATACAGCTTTTAAACAATGAGCACATGGTTTACCCAGGAGGGCAGTATAAAAACAGATGCATACACACATAAAAATATGAGTGATATTTAAACTTACCATGCTGATGGCCAAACAAGAAAGAACAAAATTAACATTTTGCCAGTATGGATTTAAATATCAGACTGAATACTCTGAAATGTTCTTGGGTTATTCTAAATGACTTATTGAAAAATAAGAGTTTCACTATATAACACAGCTACTTGGGTTATTTATGAAGACTATTTTTGTTACAAGCATGGCAAGTTGCAAGGTTTTGTCTACATTTATATGCAAATGATTCAATTTGAGACATCATGATTAATTTCCAAAATTTATAACCATGTTAAGTATATTCTAAAGTGGAATTTCCTAAGGTCCATTAGAAAAATTACCACCCACATACTGGCATTGTGGCACAGTGAGTAATAACATGGCTTGCAAGCCAATATCCAATAATGGAGCCCTGGTTCGAGTCCTGGCTACTCCACTTCCAATCCAGCTCCCTGCTAATATGCCTGGGAAGACAGCAAATGATAGCCCCAATACCTGGAGTCCTGCCACCATGTGGGACACCAGGATTCTGTCTCCTGGCTTCAACCTGACTCAAACCTGGCTACTGTAGCCATTTGGGGAGTGAACCAGTGGATGGAAGATTCTCCTAGAGTCTCTGAAATCAAATAAGTTTGGAAATTTTTGGATAAATATGGCTTCTTAATGAGCTATAAAGCACTGGAGCTTATTAAAGGCTATAGAAATCTTTGCAGAAGGATAACTGCTTATTTAAGGCAATGTTTCCTACAAGTATTTTAATTAAAATATTAAGATTACAGAATATGCTTTTGATATCAAAGAAATCAAAGAAAATGGCTGGCAGGTGATACCTCACAATCAGCATTCTTAAGTATTACACTGGTTTTTGGGGTTGGTCACTAAGAACAAAATGATAGATATCAAGAAGTAATAGCATTTTTTATAAAGTGATTCCATCTGGAAAGTGGGTAACAGGTTTTCCAGTTTACTGATGTCATTAACCTCTTTTCTCTCATTCCACTGCCATGACATACTCCCTCTGAAATGTGTTTCTCTATCGTATTGTACATCTCCATATGGAGTGTGGGCAGCTGTAAAATTCCATGAGTTGCATCTCCTTTTAAATGTAAGAGTCTTTATCCTAGCCTTCTTTGAATTATCATCTTCTTTTCAAGAATTTACTTTGTCTATTTTATAGTTGTTTAGCCCTGGGGGACTAATCCAGCACCAGTTATTCAGTCAGCACTAGAAGAAGAAAGCCTTCTAATTCTCTTAAGTAAGTTCATGAATTGGCAATCGTCTGCAGAGCTTAGAATCAGGCATTCTGGTCACCTCTGCTCAGCAAAGAGGAACTTGAATCCCTGTAAAATCAATCATGTTGATACTTCCTCACAGGGAATGCTTGAGAGTGGTCCGCCCATGCCTACTCAATTCCTAGATGCTTTCACACAAATCTGTCGGTATTTTTTAAAGGATTATGGTGTTTTTCATTGTTTTTTCAATAATTCCAGTCCAAATAACAAGTCAGCAAACAAGATACTATGATTTATTAAAGATTTAATTTTGGAGTATCATAGTATGACCATTGAATTCTGAATAACTAATTTATTTCTCAATCCCAAATAATATGTATAATCTATGTACATGTACACAATATATTATATATACATACACGTATCTGACAATAGACAGATGAGGAGGATGTAATCATTTCTGGGCAGAAGAACTTTGGAACATGTGGTTTTCCGCATAGGTAATCATAAATTTGGAGACTAAATATAACTTGACTAGAATACAGTAGGCAAGTATGAAACTTCATATACAACAATGCAATGCAATTCTCCCATTTCACTTCCTCTGCCCTTTCAACTCCGAAAGGGGGAAAATGCCATTGCAGCCTCCAGGACTGACAGAAGTACATCTCCATCCACTGCATAGCTGGGTGTGGATTCAGAGGAGAACTCAGGCAGTTACAGGAAAGTCAGGGAATAACATGACCCTAGGAATATTCTTGCAAAGTCAATTCGCACTCCCCTGGCCAGGCAATGCTCCCTGAAAGTGGCAGCCTCGCAGTGGAAACAGAAAGTAGGTTGCATTTTGCTCACCCCTGGGAATGGCCATCTCTGCCCCTGTCTTTTCACCTCCTGCTCCTAACACTCATCTCCCTGGGCTAGGCCACATGAAATTAGGACATCAGGACATCTGATCATGGCAATCACTAAACCCTGTGTTCATGTGCTGCTATCCAAATGTCATAGAGCAAATTTCAAAATGGACAGAATCATGTGTGCAATCCTGGTCCTAGCAATGGAACACAATAAGGCATAAAAGAATAGAACACGTGTGAGGGTAGCGAAGGCTTATGAAGACAAGAAATGCAGCTTTTTCCAGCAATCTGGGAGGCTAGTCACATGAAAATGTCACCTATCTGACTCAAAACCACAGGTCTCCCTAAAGCTCACTGCTGATGTTATGGGGATTCCTCCCTAGGAGCCTGCAGGGAGAGAAGCAAAAGATACGCAACTCTCTGTTGAGTGCCCTCAGCACTCTGAATTGTTGGGACATTTCCCCCTGAAACTTCATCGTCATTCCCTAACTCCTCTGAAACAGTGTGGGCTACTGATGCCACGCCAATCCTCTCAAGGTGTGTGTTTTTTTTTTAATCTAATTCTTTCAACACCTTTGATTTAAATCCCTACAGACAATGATATAAATTGCAGTAAATTCTGGCTGTTGCTCAATATCTATTCTGAAAATTTCTGCATTCCTCTTGCAAGAAAAAGTAAGTTTATTCTGAATACGTTATTTTAAAAATGTGAAAGAGATAAAAGTCCATCTCATTGGGTTATAGGACCCCACATTTGATTTTTCATATGAGAAAGCATAAATTCCTTAAGTAAAGACTCTTTGGATTGCAGAATATAGAGTTTTTGTGATCTCCCATCTTCAAGCCATATTCCCATCACTGACAGTTAAATCTTCCAGTGAAATTAGGACCACATTTATAATTTTAAGGACAAATTACATTGAATAAAAGAAACATGATTCCAATGAGCACATGCTATATTTGGGAAATTATGCTAAGAACAAAATTAAATAACTTACTTGCAAGTGAATGGAAGTCCTTTATTCCTAATACATCTGTTGGCACATTGGTCTGCTGTGTTCATTTTTTTAGTTTTTATCTTCAGTAATGGGTCTTCTTTGATAAGAATCGTCTTTGCTGACTTTTTAAATTCATGAAGTGTATTTCTTCTCTTCTTCTGTCCCTCTATTAATAGGAAAATTTTTAAAATACATTTAGGAGAAATGTTTAGAAGGTTCATTTGGGGAAAAAAATGCTTAAGAATCATCTACAAGATAATGATGTTATCTGGCAACCTACTAGTCTTGCAAAGATTGCAGGCAAAAAATGAAGTGAGGAATACTTAAGAGCAAGGGAGGAATATTGTAAGCAGGGAGTTATTCACCTACAGTCTTTCAAATGAATGATGCTTTCAAAAATTAGAACAGAGTTCATCCTAAAGAAGCAAATGAACCCTAAAGAAGTAATTATCAAATAAGTAGGATAGTTCACCCTAAAAAAGTGACATTTTCCAAACAACCCAAAAGCATTGGTGCCAGAAGCATATCACAACATACTTCAAATTCATATTTTGCATTTTCTTCTATAATCATTCTTTATGCAAATTACAGTATTAATTAAATAAGCCAGTTCAAAGACAGGTGAGAAAATTTCACTAACAACAGTATAGTGGATAATTCTAACTTGCTCTTTGAAGTATTTCAGACCATTTAGATATTAGCCCTTCTCTTATTTACTACATCAATGTTGTCTGTGCTTGTGGGCACTGCTTCTCAGTGGCACTGATCTGTTTATCTTGAGATCAGGCCAAATGCTGTGAATCAAATGTATGTAAACCTTCATCCTTTAATGCAGCAGTTTCATTTTTCTTCATCAAAGTACAAGGCCACTAGATAGCATGAAGCCTCCTAGTGGGGGAAAAAAATACTGAAAACAGAACTAAACCATGATGCAAGACTTCATCGTGAGGCAAGGCTTCATCTTGTGCATGAGTATCAAGAACTTGCTTCTTTTTCTGAATTTGCCCAAAGTAACTTCAAATTTAATCATGACCACCATCTTCACAGTGTGGATCCAAACATCTAATAGAAGGCAGCTATTGGATAGTAACAAGAGATGTGATCACGCCCTCTGCCTGTCAATGCTTTTGAACACCCTACGAACAAAGGCAGTGATCCAGATACAGGTCAAGGAACTGACCACTTAGAAGATCTCGCAGGGGAAACTCAGCTGCCTGACTTTCAGACCCCCACTGTGAACCATGCCACCTTTATCTAGGAATCACTAAGAATGTGTATGAAAGCACGGTGTGTAAACATTCTCTGAAGGTGTGGGTTAGAGCACTCAACAAAGAAACTTGGGTGGTAGACCAGCAAAGCTTTTTTGCTTTGTCTCTCTATGTGGCAAAATGTCTCAACATGAAAGGTTGAAACTTTGTGCAGAAAATTTGGAAATAATGGATAGCAGAGTGAGGAGCTGAGGATGGTATCATAATCTTAGGTTTGTCAGCACCCACTAGCTCCAGTTGGTTTATTGAACATGCACATACTACTCATTATCATCTATCCTAACCTGAAGTTCTCAGAAAAGAAGAGAAAAGATGAAGTCCTCCAGAGGTCTGGTCCTCTGTAACACTCTGATCACTAGCACCAGAAGACTTGTACCAATTCTTGTAATGATGCTTTCATTTTTAGCTTTTCTTTGCCCTACAAAATGCAATGGCTATGACACAACAAATATAATTTAAAAGACATTTTAACATTGAAATTCAATCAACCAAACAATCTATTAGCATGTTATTTATGGAGTGCAGACCAAATGGTTTGCATAAGGTTGGCAGACAGATGATAATTCTGGCATTCTTATTGACTTGCCAAATGACTCTGTTTAATTACTTGAACTGTTAATTACTCAATCTACTAAATGGAAGTTATATTAACTTTGAACTAATGGGAGTTATTTAAACTGTAATCATCAAATAAATGTTTGGAAATCAACTTGGTTAAGAAAAATGTTACAAATAAACGAAGTATCAGTCTTATTTTAGAAATTTCATCCCTTAATTTATGGTGTAAGAGAAGAAACTGTTATTCTCCCAAGCAAAGAAGGCATAATTGGTTTCTGTCACAAAACTATGTTAATGGGAGATAAGGTTTTCCATTTAGACTTTCTCCTTCCTTGACCTCACTACACTATTTCTTTGGCATTATAAAATGTTACACAACATAATAATCATTTGATTTCCTATATGAATTTGAATATTTTAAAAATAAATAGCAGTATTACTTTTTATTTGTTGAACTTATTAGGGAGAGCCACTAAGCCTTTGAGTAGAATACAGATTAAGATATGTTATTTCAAGAAATTAATAAAATATTAAATAAATAGTAGTTAACATGAAAAATCTGTTAAAAACATCTGTCCAGTGAAATGAAAGAATTTTATGTATATATTCTCAAATGAATTCTGTTAACTAAAAATATAGAATTAAAATTGACCTGATGCATTAATTATACATGTATAAGGGTGAGAGAAAAAGCACTAAAATATTCAAAAAATCTAAGGTAAATATTTCATTCGTAATGCATTTGTTATTATCAAACACAAGAGAACCACATCTGGTGGGTGCAGTGGTTTCTTCTCTCAACGCCAGGCAAAAAGAAGGCAAGCAAGGAAGACTGCTCTGCGGAAGAGAGATCTCCATGGAATGGCTGGTTGTGTTTAATTCTACAGAGCCTCACTTGTTCTATGGAAATGTGTGCACGTGTGGTTGTTCCTCTTTAGAAAAAAAATCTACTCTTGCTTGCTGATAAACTTTCCATCACTACCTTTCATCTAAAGCTCAAAAATGATTCTAAAAAGCAAATAAGTCTATGATTATCTATTAGAGATTAAAGAGAAGTGAAAGGCTTTTTTGGTGCTGCAAAAATTAATCAGGGTCCATCGGAACCAGATGCCAGAATTGACTTCTCATTACATATGGCATAGAAACTTTTCCTGATATGTCAGCAATTTTACCAATTGCTTTAAAATATGAATTTGGAGCAAGTTGCTCAGTGTGTAACCTGTGCATTTATAAAATTAATTGTTTATTCAAAGGAAGAAAATGTCCAAAGAGAAGTCACCTAAAAATACAATTCCTTTGCTGAAAATAGTTTCTACTTTCTCTACCATATGTATTAACAACTGATGCTTGTTTTACTGAAAACAGTTAAAAGCCAAGCTTAATTTGGGAAGCAACTCAAAAATATCTTTGGATCAGAGTTTTCTCTACTATTTTTTGTGTGTGTGACTGTTAGTTGAAGTTTATAAACAAAATATTGAAATGAAATCAAAGGGTGAGAGATCACTGCAAATTTGTCATGCTTTAAATTGTAACTTCTTTTTCCTTTTATCCCAGTATGGGAAAATATTCTGGAAGCTCTATTTCCTGAAGAACCTAAAGTCCTTATTTGAGAACTGAAATCATTAGAATCCTAGTGAAAACCTGCACACAGAAAGTAGGGTCAAAAGTATCAAGGTGCTTGAAGAAAGACACACTTCTCCTCCCCAGTCCCTGGCCTCACACTCATTTCTCTCAATACCTCATATATTTTCTTCTCAGTGTGGACTAACCATTGACTTCAAAGGCAAATCATGCAAGGAAAGGATTTGCAGGGTGTGGAAAGAAGTAGGACTCTGACTTCACATATTCTGAGAAACCTGCCTGCATGATTAGTGATTAACAGTTCCAAGTGGCAAGATGTTAAGATGAAAGTATACAAATAATTAATGGAAAGGAATGGTTGTGACTGGAAATTTTAAACTCCCCAGGGACAAGGATTACAAATGAGTCTCCATGTTTCTATTGGGAGTTTCCCAAATCCACAATCTTCTTTAGGGAAGGCAACTGGTTCACAAATTAAGATGTCAAGAAGAGAAGGTATCAGACTGAAAGCAAATGCGGGTATCTGGATAGCGACAAGTCTCTTCCAAGGAGACTTACAAAATGAGGTGATGTTCATGTGAGAATAGGGGCCCTTCTAGATGGCTCCTTCCTCCACTTCCTCCTTTCCATTGCTGGTTCAGGGTCTCCAGCTTTACTGTCTGTGTCTGCCTACAACTCTCCCTCCATTAGGTGACTGGAGCCGACACTCTGAAGTCCAACTTGAGTCAATCATCCTGTCAACGTAAACGACTTCTCTATGGAGACCACACTGTCTAGCAGGACGCCCAACCAGTCCATTCTACCACACTCACGGTTCCAGTCCAGGCAACTCCCTCACCCGGTACACCTGTCCCTAGAGACTACTTTCAGCTGCTGTGTGGTGGTCTTTCTGGGACATCCCTTCCCTTTCTCATAGCTATGCCTTCAAGTACTTGGCTTCTCCAGCCATGCTACCGTCCATCTTTTCATACCTTATACGCCATCTATTCCTTAAGCCTATGTTGATCTGTCAAGCTAGGAATGGACTCTTGGCCACAGTGTAATCATATTTCTAACACCCAGGGATGGTTCTCTTTCTTTGTTAATATTCCTTAACCCATATAATTTTTCAAAAGAAAGTTTCAGTTAATTTTACGGTTGGGGGTACCACAATCACTTATTTCATTCCCACAGCCTTGGGGAGGAATCTCAACTACTATGTTAACGAACAAAGATAAGTAACATCTTTAAACCTCCATTTCCACATGTAAAATAAATTCAAAAATGCCAATCTCATCAGAATTAAATAAGCTTTACTTCAGAACTTGGTCCATGACATGTGCTCAGGAAATATAGCTTCCTTTCTCATTTGTCTATCTTGATATCCCCAAGGATTCTTTGGCATCAGGTACTCTCTTAGGCTTCTTTTGCTACAGAGGATTAGCTACTTGTTTCCAGTGTTGAGGACAATGAATAGAAGGTAATTCTATAGAAAATAATTCCTACAAGGATGGTTTGGGTGCACAACATGGAGTATTTCTTAGGAAACTAACTGCATGTCAATATATTACATCAGTATCTGTTTTTCTAACAATTATGAATTTACAATATGTGCAACTATATATTCATAGAATAAATCCAAAAGTGTAACCAAAGCAAGGGACAATAACAAGAAAAAGAAAACTTCTAAATGTTCAGTACTAGATGACATAAAAACCAGAACCTTTCTATATACATATCCTAAGAATGTTACCAGTGGTTTTCATTTTGAAGGATATCTAAAAAAAAAAAAAAAAAAAAAAACAACTATCAAGACAAACTTGCCACCCAAACAAAAGTAGGTCCACTCTTCTGATGACAATTTTAGCATCATCCACTTCAAGAATTATTCACAACATATCTGTAATTCTCAATTGGCCTCTTGTTGCCTGCCAGCGCACTCTTGGGCTGATTTCTCCCTATACTCAGGAAACACAGTCATTTCAACATTAGCCAAAGTGAAATATAATTACAGATGTGCATCTCCTGCCAAAACTTCATAATGCATGCCAAAAACAAATAGATGTTGTCCACGGTAGATCTACTGTTTGGGTTTTCCACACTGTGCTCCCTTGCTTTAGCTCAGATAATTCCAGGTAATTGTATTCTCCAGAACAGCAACATCTTAATCTTTTCAAAGGAAAGTCATCAAAACCAGAGCCAAGATTTCAGGTTATACTTGAAACCCCCTACACCGGCAATGTCCTAGAAGAATCCTTTTTCATGCAACACATCTCAAGGATGACAACCTGCTCTCTTCACCACTTCAGGAATCCAACCTAAGTGCTTTCAATCGACCCTCCCCAAACCGACCCTCCCCAAACAGTGTCATAAGGACCACTTCACAAAACAGAAGAAAGCCTAGTGGTTTGCCTTATCATTTAGCAAAATCTTGGCATCTTCAACCCTTGTACTGCCTCAGAAAGTAGATCAGAGGTCTGATAAATTTCACATTTAGCTTATCTCATCTCAAAAGATGCATGAGCTCTGTTTCTTTGCAAAAAAAAAAAAAAAAATCCGTGTCTACCATCTGGTCATTTATCCCTTTCTTTTATTCCCCGTGTGTTCACTGCCTCTCCTGTTGGCACCCCAGCCGCCACGGTGTGATACAACCAAATACAGATGTTTCCTCTTGTCCTGATAACAAGAGAAAATTTCCCACAGCAGCAACGGTATCTCTGAAACCTCTGGACACAGGAGCGCCAAAGCAACTCCTCCCCAACCTGCAAAGTCTCGGCAAGAAAGTGGGAGACTGACAGGAGCGGTCATGCAGCTCCCATCCAAGTCCCCCAGGTCTGCCTTCCCAGGCACTGCAGTTCCAAAAGAGCTGGCATGCATGCCCAGAGGGAGGGAGCCAGAAGACTGGCTTTCTCTTTCATTTCTGTAACGTGCATATGCGTAGATTTCAATCTACCTCATCCCATGAAGACCTGCATAAAGTCACACTCTATCCTAGCAGGTTGACTGTGGGATGAGGGGTGGTGGGTTGTCAGGGGACAGATGAGTCCCTGCCGGACAGACCATGCCTCTCCCAGTCTTCAGACCAGACCCCATCTTCAGCTTTGAACTTGCTCAAACCTGCAAAGTTGCAGCCAGAGTGAGCGCTTCATTCCTGCCGCATCAGCCAGGACTATTGGGGCTAAATGAGCAGGGCTGGGGACTGGGTTGGCTGCTGGCAGGGGGGAGGGTGGGGAAGAGGGGATGTGGCACTGTGGGATGTTAATTATCATTGTAAATGCTTTTCCACAGAGAAAAAAAAAAGAAAGTCAAAAGAAAGTATAATGAGAGGTTTTTAAAAACCCATACCCCATACTGAGTTCAGAAAGGGTGCTGGGAGCCAGGTCCAGGGAGTGTGGTGGAGAGAAAGCAAGGGTTTCAGCAAAAGTTAAAATCATCATCCTTGTCATCACGGAAAACCCACACTGACCTGCGTAGGGGATGGCGATGGGCAGCAGCAGGAGATGCAGCAGGACCTGCTGCAGCAGCAGGACTGGCACAAGTTTGGACACCCACATGGTGCTGCTGGCCGGGCCGGCGGATCCCACTGCAGGAGCTGCCTGGCTGAGAGAATCCTGTTCGCAGTCAGTGCCCAAAAGAGCCCGCTCGGCTCCGAGCTGCTTTTTATTGCGATGAGCTAAGTTTGTTGTGTGATTAACTGGAAGGATCTAGGTCTGAACTCCCTCTTACGGTAAGAAACTGTTTAACACAGCCCTTTTACTCTCCTCCAGCCCCTCCTTCTCTCACCCCCCACCCCTCCCCACCAACACCACCAAACAGACCCCAGCTCCCCCTCCCCCCTCCCCCACCCCTGCCTAGGAAAGAAACTTACAAAGAGGAGGTCACCTGGCCAGAGGCCAGCTTCCATTTGGAAGCCAGCTCCAGATCCCAGTGGCTCCTATCCGAGTCGGAAGGGAGGAGCCAGGCTCAGCCCAATAGCTGAATCTGCAGGCACAGGCCGAGGACCAATTCGCTCCATTGAGACAGCAAAGTACATGTGTTTACATATCTGGGGGGGGGGGGGGTAGGGAAGGGGAAGCAGCATCAGAGGAGAGCAAAGGGCTGTCTTCCAGCCAAATGTCCTCGAGCTCCTCATCTGGGCAGTGTCACAGCGAGAGCAGTCTGGACATTCCAGACCCTGACACCGGTTCCCCCTCCCCCCCCACCCCCCGCGGGGTTACAGCTTGGGGAGGGAGGGGGAGCAAAGCCTGAAGCAAGTCCCAGGCCAGGTAAGAAAGAGATAAGTGAAGGAACCGATACCGGATTGCAGAAGGAAAATCAACAAAAGCATACCGGGTTGCAGAAGGAAAATCAACAAAAGCGGCCAGGAGGCAGGTGGGAGAACTGCCCCTCTCACAGGCTCAGGGCAGGCGGCTTTCATCAGGAGCTGTGCTCAGTTCCCCAGTGGCCACACATTCACCCACGGTGCCTCACGTACACATGTACACATCACGCAGATGGTCTACTTTATTTGCAGATGCTCTCTCTGAACACAGCTGAAAGAGACACCTTGCCCATTGCCTGATTCCTGACAGGTAAATATACCGAGGTTGGACTGTGCATGCTTGTACTCCTGGCTCCCTCGACACACACCCAAGCATATGGGGATGTGTGCCCGTTCTGAGACTAATATCCACCGACATCCCTCCTGGTGCTTGAAATCAGGAATCACGAGTGGGCCTCTCCTCTCCTGCCCCAAGCCCTGCGCACGCCCATGGCTCCCCCAGGTCCAGGCGCAGGGCTGAGGAGCCGGCTGCGAGAGCACTACCCCCACCTTTCACTGGACCCGGAGGAGGAAGGTTTGTCTCTGCCCCACAAGGTGGATGCTCTGACTACTGTGGGCAACAGCTTGCTTTATTTCTGATGGACAGTGAGACAGCACTGCCCCGGGCATGTCTGAGATGGGTGGCGATCCCAGTCTGTGCGGTTGACAGAGGGGTGGAGAGCAGGTCCGGGGGGCTGCGCAGAAGCGGCCATAGGCAAAATTAAGGTCACTTGCAAAGCGAGCTTCCCTGCGCGATCTTCCCTCCTTTCCCTCCTACCCTCCCCACCCCCACCTCCGACCCACTGAGAAACCCACCTGCCTGATAGGTCCCTGAGGTCGAAGGCTATCTAAAGATAGGGATTAAGGGAAGTCCTTTGGAGGGACCCTCTTTCTATTGCCTCTTCCTATTGCTAATCCTGCCCTTTTATCATTTTCTCCTTATAGAAACAAAACCAGACAAATGCAGAAGTCATTTGTCAGTGTCTCTCTGGTGTCCCAAGTAGCCAGTTTCCTTTCTTTTTATTGTCATTACACTTTGGGGACCTCTGGGTCTCTGCGTTGCCTGGCCATGACCCTGAATTGCCCCCACTGGGTCTCCTGCGCTTTATTAGGGATTAAAGCTGCTTTGGAAGATGCTGGATTTTCTGTAAGTGAATTTTGGCAGGTATTTTTCCTGTCTCTCAGAGAAAGCAGAGCGTGGTCTATAAGCATAGTAACATTTATAGTTACGAGTTTAAGGCAAAACCAGAGTGGGATGGACAGTATTAGATCACACATTTTAAAATATCTTTGCTCTAATTGTTTTCTTTCTTTTAAGTGTATTTCTATTTGTTTGAAAGGCAGAGTGACACATGAACACATGCACCCCCCCCCACACACACACACAGATCTCCCAGCTGCTGGTTCACTCCCCACATGCCCAAAATAGCTAGGGCTAGGCTAGGCTGGAACCAGGAGCCGGAAACTGCATCCAGGTCTCCCACGTGGGTAGCAGGAACCCAAGTACCTAAGCCATCACCTGCTGCCCCTCAGAGTGTGCATAAGCAGGAAGCTGTATCAGAAGCAGAATCAGGATTTGAACCAGGCACTCCCATGTATGATGCCAACATCCTGAGAAGAGGCTTAATCCACTGGCCCAGAATGCTTGCCCTACATCTTAAAAATATTCATTGTCACATTAAATACAGTAAACACAACTTAAACCTATATAAAAGTATACATGCATATTTTTCTTTTTTTAACTTTTATTTAATAAATATAAATTTCCAAAGTACAGCTTTTGGATTACAGTGGCTTTTTCCCCCCCGTAACTTCCCTCTCACCTGCAACCCTCCCATCTCCCACTCCCTCTCCCATCCCATTCTTCATTAAGATTCATTTTCAATTATCTTTATATATAGATGATTGATTTAGTATATATTAAGTAAAGATTTCAACAGTTTGCACCCACACAGAAACACAAAGTGTAAAGTACTGTTTGAGTACTAGTTATACTGTTACTTCACATTGAGCAACACATTAAAGACAGAGATCCTACATGGGGAATAAGTGCACAGTGACTCCTGTTGTTGATTTAACAATTGACACTCTTGTTTATGGCGTCAGTAATCACCCAAGGCTCTTGTCATGAGTTGCCAACGCTATGGAAGCCTTTTGAGTTCTCTGACTCCCACCTTATTTAGACAAGGTCATAGTCAAAGTGGAAGTTCTCTCCTCCCGTCAGAGAAAGGTACCTCCTTCTTTGATGGCCCATTCTTTCCACTGGGATCTCACTCACAGAGATAAAAGTATACATGCATGTTTTTCTTTAACTACTTTTAAAATTTTTTTAACTATTTAGTTTTCTTTAATTTTTTTTTAGAGATAGACAGTGAGAGAAAGAGAGAGAGCATGTGCTTCCATCTGCCAGTTCATTCCCTAAATATCCATAGGGCCAGGAACGCAGTTCAGCTCTCCCACGTGGGAGACAGGCACCCAAACGCTTTCGTAGTCACCACAGCCCCACAGGGAACACCTTAGCAGGAAGCTGAAGTCCAGACCTGCAGACTGAACTCCAGTACTCCCAGATGGCACATGGACATCCTAGCCAGTGTCTTTACTGCTAGGTCAAATGCCCACTCTCTTACATTGCTTTTTGACCATAGTTATTTGGTTTCTCTTTATTGAAATCATAGGTAGGGGCCGGTGCTGTGGCATAGTAGGTTAAGCCTCTGCCTGCGGTGCTGGCATCCCATGTGGGCACCAGTTCATGTCCTGGCTGCTTCTCTTCCAATCCAGCTCTCTGCTAATGGCCTGAGAAAGCAGTGTAAGATGGTCCAAGGGCTTGGGCCCCTTGTACCCACGAGGGAGACCCAGAAGAATCTCCTGGCTGTTGCAGCCATCTGGGGAGGGGGGTGAACCAGCAGATGAAAGAACTCTCTCTCTGTATCTCCCTCTCTGTAACACTGTCTCTCAAATAAATAATCATTTTTTAAAAATGATAAAAAAGAAATTGTAGCTAATATGCATTGAACCTTTAGTGTATGTAAAACATGATGCTAAGTACTCTTAAAAACTTAATTAATCCTTACAGCAAACTTTAGAGAATTATTAATTATTATTAATTAACTATATATTATTAATTATTATATTTCAAAGGCTGCAGTTGGCTAAACACACACACACACACCTTTGTCTTCAGATTCCTCAACCACAAGAGACATTTGTGAAAATGAACTTGGCAAATAGGTTCATCTGATCTGTGATCTGCAATCACTAACACTGTGTGCCCTTGAACTGTTCATGTCATTTGTTCAGTGCTTGGCACATGTGAGATGCCATTGTGTTTGCAGCTCCCAGTCCCATAGTCTGCTTAGTTATATGCCTGGCTTCTAATCCCTGATGAATCTTGTAAGTCTATTACTAATTGGGATGTCAGCCTCCTAACATCCCAGTTTTCCTGCCACCAAAATGAGATGTTCTTGAGTATATGACAGGTGCTATGTATTGTTTCACTTATCCTTTATCCTTGCTCTGGAAAAAAGTGTATGTCTATCAGAGGTTTGTATTATTATCATCAGTGACTTACAGCAAAAAAATCAAGATTTAGGGATGATAGGAATGTAGCTGAGGTGAATCTGCTACTACAAGGTGATTCTAAGCCAGGTATCAAGTTACTGCTATCAGCTGCTATTGCACATGGAAATAGATCCACACTGAAAGAGTTCTGATATTCCTTCCAGCTCTGTTACTTGATAACTGAATCGTTAGTAGTTTCCATATTTCTATACCATGTTTTCCTCCCACATCTAGGAAAGACGCGCTTGGGGCCAGCATTGTAGCACAGCAGTTTAAGTAGCCTCTTGCAATGCCTGCATCCCATATCATAGCTGATTCAAGTCCCAGCTGCTCTTCTTCCAGTCTACCCCCTGCTAATGTACCTGGGAAAGCAGGAGAAGATGGCCCAAGTGCTGGGGCCCCTGCCGCCCATGTGGGAGACTCCGATGCTCCTGGCTTCATCCTATCTCAGTCCTGATCATCAGTCTCATTTAGGGAGTAAATCAGCGTATGGCAGATCCACCTCTTCCTCTGTCTCTCCGTCTCTGTAATTCTGCCTTTCAAATAAATAAAACAAAATAAATCTTTAAAAAGAAAACAGAAAGAAAGAAGTACCTGTTTGATCTTCAGCATTGCTTATCCTCTCCACACAATCTTTTTTTTTAAGATTTTTTTTTTTTTACTTGAAAGGCAGAGTTACAGAGAGAAGCAGAGACACACACACACACAGAGATCTTCTATCGGCTGGTTCACTTCCAAAATGGCAGCGATGGCAGCAGCTGAGCCAATCCGAAGCCAGGAGCCAGGAGCTTCCCCAAGGTCCCCCACGTGTGTGTAGAGGCCCCAAGCACTTACTGCACTTACTGCACTTACTGCACTTACTCCAATCCAGAGAGCTGGATTG